CAACCACTTTCATCTAGATATAAAGTGGAAATTTGAATACAAATAAAAAAATCTGACTAAAATGACACGCAGACCGCATTTTTTATGAATGAAAAATACGCTTTAATTGTGTTAACTTTAAAGCACATTTTTCATAACTTATATTTTCTTAAGTCAACGCAATGTATAATAGTATTTAGCGTGCAATATAAAAAATAAACTAGATTCTAAATATATAAAATATTTTAAAAATGTAGAGACATTATAATAGCTCCGTCAAAAAGCCCTGTTATAAATAATAATTATGTTTTAATATATTCAATTTTTAACAAGTTATTAAAGAAAACAAAATATATTTATGACAAAAATATCATTTATAATTGTAAAAGAAAAATAGTAAAACCATACTAAAATTACTTTTAATGTTAGACATAGACACCTATATAAATATAAATTGTAAATAAACAGGCTTTTAAAAAAAAAGTAATTCAATTGAGTTTCTTGCCAGTTCTTCTCAATTAGATCTATATACCGAACTGTATGGTAGGAAGGAATTAAATTATAATGTAAAAATTTGACGTTCATCTACGGCTAAAATGTGCTACATGAATGAATGATTTTGAATTTGAATTAAGTAAATAACACACACCACAGAAGTGATACTGCGTTCTTCATTAAAAAAAAATAGAATAGCCAAGGGCCTATTCCATTTTTTTTTTTAAGATAACAAGCATTTTTCAATTTGTTTGTTAAACTTACGACTATTAATTGCAAGGTATGTAGACGCCCTTATATTATAAATCAAATACCCGATTCGCTACAAAAAAAAATACAAAAATATAACGAGCACCTACGATGCACCATCCATAAATGAATACACACGAATTTCATGATATCATTACCCTTTCCCCTTCCGTGTCACAGCTAAAACGGTTTACTGATGACCTCGGACGAACCTCAAAAATTTTATCAAATCCTCAGATTAACGAGCCGAAAGGTTTCTCTTTCGCGTGAAAGTCGACTCTCAAGTCATATACGATTCTCGCGTGATAGTCGATTCTCGCGTGAAGGTCCATTCTCGCGTAAAAGTTGATTCTCGCGTGAAAGTCGATACTCGCATGAAAATCGAGTGAAAGTCCATTCTCGAGTGGAAGTCCTTTCTCGCATGAAAGCCGATCCTCGCGTGAACTTCGATTCTCGAGTGAAAGTCCATTCTCGCATAAATGTTGATTATCGCGTAAAAGACCATTCTCGCGTGAAAGTCGATTCTGGCGTGAAAGTCCTTTCTCGCATTGAGCCGATTCGCGAGTGATAGTCCATTCTCACGTGAAAGTCTATTCTCGCGTGAAAGTCGATTCTCAAGTAAATGATAATACGTGTAAAGGCAGCTATTGCCACACTTTGTCCCCTTTCTCCCTTCAACGTGTGACTTAACTTATGGATGAGCACAAACTATTTAATTTATAAACAAAATACAAGTAATAATGCCGATATACACAAATGTATTATATTTATACGCGATAAGTTACATCAGACTTGGCTTAGCTTATAAAATAATTCATATAAATCCATTGTTCTAATAAAAAACAGCTATTCTCGAACCAGTTTAGTTTAGTTCATAAAATATAACTAAAGTGCGTTTGACGAATTCATTATACTGATTACTCTGAACTACACGATACGGACTTGCATGTCAATGTGTGGTTCGCGTAATGTGTATTGAATTTAAAACTGTTTTATTGGCTAATAAAGTTTATTATTAACTGTTTTTCACGGCTGAAACTGGTGATCAGTACCGAGGACGGGACATGCCAAGTCTCTCATTACTTTATTTCGCTTGATGGTTTATTCTGTGGCATTTAGGAAGGACTATTGCACATGTATCTAAGATAACAGCCTTTTGTAGTGGAATGTAGATTAGTTTATTTAATTGCAGATCGTCTATTGCTTTATGTAGTGTTTTAGGAATAGTTCCTGTAGATGATAATATTACTAGTAATATAGAACTGTATTATTATTATTACTTTTTTATATTATTTTTTTTCGACTTTCGCCGGTAATCTTGATATGTACGGGCCTAAGCCAAGTACATAACAATGTTCTATCTTAGGTGGATATACCATAATACAAATGTAGGCCTAATCTGTCTGTAGAAACTTTCTAACAACGCGGCATGTGTTTAGAACTACAGCCTTCTGTAGTTGGCAGTATATATTAGAGGGCAAGTTCAGGGTATTTAGTGACTGATGCATGTGTTTCGGTATGACACCTGTAGTTGAGAGGACGAATGGGACTATTGTTACTTTTTCTAAGTGCCAGAGTCGGGTTATTTCTGTTTGTATTTATTATTATTATTATGTATATGTATTATTTCTCAGCATAGCTGGTTTTGTAGACACAGGGACGGGTTTTCATTATTATTATTATATATGTTGCTGACGTACTGGCCACATACAGTTGTTATATTATATTTTTCTAAAGAAAAAGAAAAATTTATTATATATTTTTTGTATACAGAAATTTAATATCAAATAAACATTGTGAGAGACAACAACATATATGTATATGTTTTATATATCTCCCTTTTTACAGGGGTAATACATTCAAACACGCGGGCCTTAGCCAAGCGTGGATAAGTTATATAACGATGATAACAGTGAAAACAACAGAAATTTCCTTACAATACGGCATGTATTGAGAATGACGACTTTTTGTAATAGGTCTATTGTAGAAGAGGGGATCTGCAACGTGTCTAGGTGTTTGATAAGACTTTTTGGTATAATTCCTGTGGATGACTAAACTATGGGTACTATGTGGATAGTGTGTGCTTTTCAATTATTATTATTATTCTCTTTTTCACAGCTTAAGCTGGTGACTAGTGCCGAGACGGGACATGCCAAGTCACAGATATAATAATAACAATAATAATAATAAGTAATGAGTACTTATTATTATTATTATTATTATATCTGTATACATAATAACGATCTAATATTAACTTGATAACCGAGACCGTGGTTTAGTGGCTTACAACACCGCTTCAATTCCGATCGTTCTATGTATATTATGTATTAGTTTTATTGTAAATACATACATAATATACATAGAAAATACCCAGACCGATACAAACAGTCATACTATATAGTGTTCGCATCGTAGGAGAAATCGAACCGGCGACCATCGGATGTAAACCGGTGTGCTAAACCGCTAGACTACCGAAACTGTCAATAAAATAAACTTAATACAATTTTATAGTTTCTTGGTTATTTAATTAACAACAAAATGCATTTCTTTTCTTTATCGAAGTATGCTATTTACTTGAAATTGAAACAAACTTAAAGTTTGTTTGAATTTCAAGTAAATAACTATCAAAATAATATTTAAAGCGAAAAAACTATCAAAAAATATTAATTTATTTATTCCTCCGTGAAACGCACTTTCGTTATTGTTCTCCAACTTCAAACAATACAATAAAATCATTTACATATACAAAATTTATTCGTACAATTTCTGGCAGTGTATATTGGATGACCAATTTTAATATAGCTTTAATAAAACTACAAACTTGGCTAGAAATGTTAAATCTAACAATCTATTATCAATTCTCCGCTACATAGATACAATGATAATTTTTCCTTGGACGTTCCAAGTGGAAATTATCTTGTATCGCTTAAGAGAGTTCACTGCCGCAACCTTTGGTGAAATTAAAAAAAAAACAATATCAAAAATCAATCCTAATAACAATATAAAAGAAATTATGTATGTATGTTAGTTAATATATTAGGATTGATTTCTCAATCGCAATCTCTGTGTCTGTAATCTCTACGTTAAATTAAAAAAAAAATATTAAATATTAAAATTCACAGTGCTGACAATGTTATCTGATAGAACAAAGATTGAGTGAGTTCTGTGTTTTATTTTAATCAACATTTATTTTTTAAAAGAGCAATACGCATTTTACTTGCTCATTAGTAGTAGTTACTACTAACTCCTCCTTTTTTGGAGTCGGTTAATAACTATTTGGAAACTTCAAAAGTAAAATGTAATATGATCGACTTTTTTTATAATAATATTGAAAATAATGTGAGAAATGTAGTGGGAAACACATATTAACGGTAGTAAACGCTCTTAAGAAAAACTATACATACAAGCTACAATACAATTTCTACTCTATTACAATAGTTCTTAAAGTACTTTGTTGAATAACCTGCACCTGGATAGAGTTAAAACTACAACCTATGTACAGATTGCGTTATAATTATTAAATTAGAGCTCATAATGCTGCCTTAGACGTCCACACACTTACTTTATTGGGGTAATTTTGAGCAAAATTGGAGAGGAATGCAAGCAGTCTGGCAACACTGATGAATATATTAATCAGTAAACACTTCTACTGATCAACGACATAAATTCGTTGTAACATAATAGGCAGCATAATTTCCGAAAACAATTAATTTACATTGGCAGACATCTAATTTCATTTTATCTACATTTATTTATAACGTGTGGCAACATTTAAGCATTTTTTTGTTATGGCGACTGTACTGTAGAAAATTTTAACGTTTTACTACTGCTTCATGTGGAATGTATTTAATAATTATTTTTTAATTTTTGCGATTATAATACATTAATAATATTGTTAAACGAGTTTTAATAATGCCTAGTGGAACCTAGTTGAAACGTCGAAAGAGAGATACCTTTATTTACCATACAATTATTCGAGTTAAAACCCGGGGTGTCACGTGCACGTTGCCGACCCTTAAAAAACCTTAATATACCCTTAAAAACCCCATGTTGCAGTCTCGTGAGAAAACCTCGGCAGGTAGTTCATTCCACAATCTAAATGTATGCAGGTCATCTCTGAAACTACACTGTCCGAGACTACTTAGATTCCAGTGTGTGTGGCTGAATTTCCGATCGATGGCAAGTAGTGCGATGGTAAAAGGTACCATAGACAACATGGTTTAAAAAAAATTAATTGTCATTACGACGCCACTGTTATTTGCCACCTTACACTCTGTTTATACTTCACTGTCAATATCTAATAATACCTTTAGTCATAGTAGCATAGTAATGTAACGCCAATAAATTACAGTACAGTCGCCAAAATAAATGTTGCTACATAATATTCATCATCTACTTCCTTATCCCATCCTTTTATCGTCAGCAGTATATGTTTAACTCTTTCATTCATCTCATTCACTCCTTTTCTTTCCATATCATCTTTCACACAGTCCATCTCTTTCTCGGCCTCCCTCTCCGGTATATCCATGCTATATTCAATTACCTAATTATAATCATCTGTAGTGTCTGGTGGAGATCTCGAACTCGTGTCTGGTTGTACCCTGGCCTGTACCCTGCCAAGGTCCAGGACTGGAAGCCGCACCATGTAGTCTGCATCCCACAGTCTGTCACCACTTCTACCTCGCTCCGACCAGGGTATAGCTCTGAAGTCGTTAGAACTTCCTGCACTCGTCCCTTGACCGTTCGTTGCAGCTGCCACTGGATTCAACCGAGGTATCCTCTGCGCTAACGCTCTTAACCTCGTATTCTCCTGCCTTTCTTGTCTTTCAGGTACGAAGTTCTGGACTTCTCTTCTCGTCTGCGTCTCATTCCGGGGTTGGTTGGAAGCGAACATGTGCTGATACCTGGCTATCTCACAAGGTAGTAAAGGCCTGGCGTCCCTGCCTATCCTCTGGACGGTGATCTGACGCTGGTTCTGTTGGTTCGGTGATGAGATCGATGATGAGTCGACCGTTTGCGTGGGGTGGATGATGATGCCGTTCTGTTGAACCCGCGTCGGTGATGGGAAATTTAGTGCCAGGAAATCTGGTAGTGGCACGCAGAATATGCCTAACTCTTCCTGTAAATCAATTAACAAATGATTGTTTATTGAAACTTTATACAAATTTCTACGTAGCGTATACGTATTAAAGTACCCTAAGTTACTCCTTATTACATCAGCTACCTGTCAAAAAAAGTCCCGTCAAAATAGGTCCAGCCATTTCAGAGATTAGCCGGAACAAACAGACCAACTGTCTATCGGTCTGTCTGTTCTGGCTAATCTCACAGACAAAAATGGTAAAAAGTGTTATTATGGTGTATGTACCGTAGTTATATTCATATGCATGTAGTAAAAATCGGTTATTTCAATATTACAAACAGACACTCCAATTTTATTTATATGTATAGATACTGTAATTAGTTATATAAAAAAAATCTTTTCAAAAGAGCATCACACAAGTATCTTGCTCATTCTTCTAGTGATGAATCTGCATTCCGAATGAGTGGTAGAATCAAAATATGACTATTCAAAAGTGCTTGTAATGAGTTTATTTGAATAAAGATTATTTCTATTTCTATTTCTATAAATGATCTCTAATTTCTACTTACATTAGCGTTAGGTGTTTCTCCACCATTATCCGGTATAGTAATGAAGGGCTTCCGGTCCACCTCGGTAGAAGATTGGGTGCCTTCAGGCTTCTCTTTGGTGTCCTCGTCTAAAGGCACATCGGGGACCACTTGTAGATCTTCAGGTGGATTGGGTACGATCACATAACTGGCTATTATACTTGATAGTTGATCTAGAACCTGAAAAAATAAATTAATACACATTCAGCATTATATCAGTATCATTAGTTTACAATAATGTTTGTCTTATTAATATTATAAACGCGAAAGTTTATGAGTGGATGGATGTTTGTAACTCTTTCACGCGAAAACTACTAAACGGATTTTGATGCAACTTTACAGTAATACAGCTTATGCATCTGAATACATAGGCTATACATTTCACGCAGGTGAAATCGCAGGCTCAGCTGGTTCTACATATAATTAAAAAAATACTTTCGCTAAGTTATTTTCAGTTTAAAAAAGTAGGTGATTAATAAAAGCTTACGTAATGTCAACAAACTAGTTTTACCTAAGTGCCGTTTGACGAAAGCCAGTAATTCGTTTTATGGAAATTGCGTAAGGTTTTACAACAAACTCCCAGAATCTGTAGTCAATTTGCCAGAAAAAAATTCAAATGTGTCATAAAATATTTTCTTTGTAAAAAAGCTTAGTATAAAATTGAAGAATTTATAAATGATAATAATGTTTTTGTAGAAAATATCTAACTTAAAATTCATAGCGCTGACAATGTTATCTGATTGAACAGAGATGAAGTGCGTAGCGGTTTCTATGTTGATTGTCGCATACCTAATCCTTGTTGTTAATTAAATATAAGTAAATCAATATTTATTTAAAAGAGCAACACACAAGTTTCTTGCTTATTCTTTTTCTGATGAATCTGCATTCCGAATAAGCGGTAGAATAAAAAAAAACTTGACTATTCAAAAATGCTTATATTAAGTTTATTTTAATAAAGATTATTTCTATTTAATGTATTTATTTATAACTCTTACCTCCTCTGCTAATAATCTATGTTTGGGATCCTTCACTAACAACCTTTGAATGAGAAATATCGTATTGTCTGATGCCTGTACAGAATTTCCATCTCTGAAAAAAAAACGACATAGTATTTTATAAACGGTATTAGGGTGTCTAAAGATATAATATGGAAACACTTGTGTGTGATGAATTAAAGTGTGCTAAAAAAGGTAACAACAACCATATTCTATCTAATCAATGTTTATCATCAAATAGCAGAGAAATACTTGTCTAGCGACTAGTCTACAGTGCAGTTGATTTTTTAATATATTTAAAGACAATCTAAATATATATAACTCAAAGGTGACTGACATAGTGATCTATCAACGCACAGCCCAAACCACTGGACGGATCGGGCTGAAATTTGGCATGCAGGTAGATGTTATGACGTAGGCATCCGCTAAGAAAGAATTTTGATTAATTCTACCCCCAAGGCAATAAGATAGGGGATGAAAGTTTGTATGAAACTTTTTCAATTTTAAACCGATCGGGCTGAGACTTTGCATGCATAAAGATACTATGACGTAGGCATACCCTAAGAAAGGATTTTTATAAATTCCACCCCTAAGGAGATAAATTAACGCGAGCGAAGCCGCGGGCAATGGCTAGTTCCCATATAAAGGTTAATCCGAAAAAGTTCCTAGAAGTTTACTTCTAGAATGGGAGAAAGGGGATTGTTAGTAATGTGGAAGATCTTATTGCTAGCAATGTACCATGTCAGGTTGTCCTCCACGCGGTTCCCCCTAGAAACCATTGTGATAAATTCTTGGCGAAATTGTCACGATGGGCTAACTGATCTGACCTCATGTTCATATTATCAACGTCCACTGGTGCCCCGCCAGCGTAAACCGTTAGCACAGGCGGGTGTACCATTCCATTATCATCCATAAAAAAAACCTTCTAGAAAACCGCACTGTAGAAGATCCACATTGATTGAATTGTTAATGATAAACCTCCCAAGATCTGCGAGATGTTAACCATGGTCCCTTAAGAATGGTGTTTAAGATGGTGTACTGGGAGTGAACACTGCAATATAATGAGACCAAGAACTCACGGCGGTATGTTGTAGTTGGCGGCCTGTATCCTGGTGAAGAGTTGGGCGAGGCTGGTGTCACAAAAGGGGAACTGTCCGTAAAGCATCGTGTATAACACCACACCCAGCGCCCACATGTCCGACGGCTTGCCCAGGTATGGCCGACACTGCAGCACGTCCGGAGATATGTACGCCGGGGAGCCTGCCACACATCATACATCATACACTGTTCTAACATTCCCGAGCGGGGGGAAGGGGATTGTTAGCAATGGGAACTAGTAACTCCCATTGCTAGCAATGTACCATGTTAGCTTGACCTGCACGCGGTTCTCCCTGGATACCATCGTGATGTATTCTTGGTGAATTTGTCACGATGGGCTAACTGACCTGACCTCATGCTCATCTTATCATCCTCCACTGGTGCCCCGCCAGCGTAAACCGTTAGCGCAGGTGGGTGCACCATTCCATTATCATACACAAAAAAAAACATTCCCGGGCGCTCCACACCGTCCCGTCCCTGTCCAATTCAAACGAGGATCGAAATAACGATGGCCGACGGTTCGAACTCCTAGCGATGCCCTCAGACTAAAGTCATATCCGTCAGTTGGCCTTCAGCCGCTCCATAAGTCATCCGCGGATTTGGAGTGCCATCTGTACTCGCCCCTTATCGTCCGGTGAAGCTGTAAAGGCCAGCTGCGGCCAACAGCAATAGAGTAATCCGAAAAAAAACTGTTCTAATATATGCTGCACCCGTCCCACATGTCCAACGACTCGCCCAGGTACGGCATTGGTGAGCCTGCACCATACAATATAATAATAACATTCCAGAACAATCCACAAAGCGCCATCTAGACTCGAACTAAGCAGAGCTCGTGTTATGGGTACTAGACAACTGAAATATGTCATCATCATAGTCATCAATACAAAAGTTTGTACTGTCCACGCGTTGGTGTAGATGATAGTGGTGGGACTGGTGTAGCGAACTCCTTGATAGGTTTTTGTACTATTTTTAAATTTTATAATAATATTCTTTGACATATTCCTTTTGTTACTTTCTATTTATATATCGCTGTCATACTAGTCGCATTTTATTTTATCTCCGTATTTTCCTCATTAAAACCCTCAGCACCTCTCACTCATCAGACACATTTGATACCTCCGCTTCAACTGGAGATGCAGAGACTTCATCATCACCGTGGCTTCGCCGTCACATTCATATTGTTCTTCTTCAATAGCACTATTGTATTAGTTTTTACGCATTCTTTACTCAGTACAGTGCAAGGAACCGAACCCGCGACCAACGGAAGCAAGGCGGTGCGCTGAAGCGCTAGACTACCGAGGCCACCGAATACATCATGAACTACCTGCCGAGGTTTTCTCACGAGACTACAGCATGTAGTTTTTCAAGAAGGGTATATTAAGGTTTCTTAAGGGTCGGCAATGGATACGTGACACCCCTGGTGTTTCAGGCGTCCATAGGCTATGGTAACCATTTACCAGCAGATAGGCCGTATGCTTATTTGCCACCATAGCAGTATAAAAAAAAATTAAATTATATTGTCTCATATATATCCACACTTGGTAATATTATTTACTATTTCACTCACCCCGCTGATCTTTCAGTAGATCCCTGTCGCTGCCGAGATGAGTCCCGAGGCAGAAGTTGGTTATGATAACTCGGCCCGTCCTTTGGTTTAATACTATATTACCTAATTTTATATCTCTATGTACTATGTTTCTCTGAAATTGCAATTAAAATTTTGTTAAAGCGGTGAAAGTTATATCATACGATACTAGCTACCCACCCCGGCTTCGCACGGGTGTACATGTATTGTATATATAAACCTTCCTCTTGAATCACTCTATCTATTAAAAAAAAAACCCGTTGCGTAGTTTTAAAGATTTGATTTAAGCATACATAGGGACGGACAGACAGTGATAGCGAAATAGAAATAGAAATAATCTTTATTCAAATAAACTTAATATAAGCACTTTTGAATAGTCAAGTTTTTTTTATTCTACCGCTCATTCGGAATGCAGATTCATCACAAGATAGAATAAGATAGATAAAATAGAGTAGGATTCGCCTCACAATCAGGAATGAAAATTATAATTTTTGTACATGATTTACGAAACAATAATGAGTAAATTAAATGTTAAGTCAATTCTCACAAAGATACAGAATTTTTCAATAGTTGTCTGCATACAACTGAACTGTCCCATCAACTGATTTAAACACAATTTTTTTTTGTGAATAACATATAAATAAACTTGGAGTGTCTGTTTGTAATCTTGAAATAATCGTTTGTTACCTATATACATATGTATATATATACACATAACGCATGGTACATACACCAAAATAACATTTTTTATAATTTTTGTCTGTCTATCTGTTGTCTGTTTATTCCAGCTAATCTCTTAAAAGGCTGGACCGATTTTGACGGGACTTTTATTGGCAGGTAGCTGATGTAATAAGGAGTAACTTAGGTTACTTTTATTTTAGAAAAATAAAGTGAAAAACCACGCGGACGAAGTCGCGGGTACAGTTAGTTATGAATACAAAACAACCAGACATAAATATCATACCATCAACAATCATACCATCAGAAGTAAGACGATAAACTGCTATACCACTGAGAAGTTCTGGAATAATAAACTGTATAATATAGAAAACTCCATAATTACATACCTTATGCAAATTTGCTACTACCCTAACAATATCGTAGAAGATCAATATTGCTTCTTTTTCTGGAACCTTCTTAACTTTGGTAACATACTGTTGCAGGTTGATGAGTTCAGAGCCTTTCTCACTGAACTGGTGGGAGGTCACACAGTCCAGCACAAGGAATAGTCTTTGTCTAACTCGGCCAGTGTAAATAAAACCAGGGCCATTGGGGTTTGGCACTTCTTCTAATGCATGGTCCTGGAAGCAGTTTGGAATCTTTAAGGTTGATTTTCTATAGAAAGGATACTATGTTACTAATGGGTAATAATAACCCAATTACTAATAATATATCCTCATAATAATTATGGTTAATTTGTCTAGATGTCATCCTTCACTGGTGCCCCACCAGGATATACTATTACTGCAGGTGTATTCACTATTTCATTCACAAGAAAAATCTTTACAGACAAATTTATATGCACGAAAATAAAATTGGAGTGTCTGTTTGTAATATTGAAATAATTGTTTTTTAGTACATGCATATGAATTTAAATGTGGTACATATAACAAAATAACATTTTTTACAATTTTTGTCTCTCTGTCTGTTTGTTCCGGCTAATGTCTGATATGGCTGGACCGAATTTGACGGGACTTTTTTGGCAGGTAGCTGATGTAATAAGCAGTAACTTAAGCTACTTTTATTTTAGAAAAATAAAGTTAAATTCCAAGCGGATGAAGTCGTGGGGAACAGCTAGTTTCTATTCAAGATGAATGAATGTCTTGTTACCTTAAACAGACCATGGTGGTGTATAACTCCATCTTGGTCCTTCAACAGTGATAGTAGTGAGTACTCTGTGTGTAGCAACATTTTTCCTTGCCTGTCATCTTGTGTTTCTTGCCCATCACTCCTCAATGTTAATATTTTTACCTATAAATAACACAGATTTTAAACCACAGATTAAAACAGGACTAATAATGAAGGAAACTTGCGAGTACTACAGAAAAACATATGCAGAGACTAAGAGTATGTCGAAACTCAATAGAAAGAAGTGTTATCGGTGTTAAACTATGAGACAAAATTAACCTAATAAAAATAAAAGAAAAAACAAAATTTAAAAACATTGAAACAACTGTTAAATCTATGAAGTGGAGGTGGACAGGCCACATGATTAGGGATAAAATACCAAAATGGACAAAAGACATTACAGAGTGGTACCCGAGAGGACACAAAAGAAGCAGAGGCAGACAGACTAAAAGATGGGATGATGACATCAGGAAGGTAGCAGGGAAAATTTGGACTCAGAGTGCAAGGGACCAAACCCTATGGAAATACTTGGAGGAGGCCTATGTCACATGACAGACTGATGACATTCAGATGTGGAAAAAAAAATTTATAGACTAACAGGACCGCAGTTACTGCTGTAAATTTGTAGTATAATGTTAACAATAAATAAAGACTTTTATTATCATTTATTATTAATAATGTAGGAACTATCTTGAATTTTTTTTATGTTCCTGTTTTATCTGCGATCAGTATGTCTACTATAATCGGATTGGTCAGCAAATGGCCCTTTATCTAGGAATAACTATCTTGTAATGATTGCATAATAATTATATTATTAGCACCAATACATAAACATAATAATATTAAACATGGTCCCCATACAAACCATAGAGACTATGGTCACCGCCCAACTGATTTAACTATATTCTTAGACCTATTTTTCAGTTTTTCAAAGCTGTAAAGGGCAGTCAAGGTATTACAGTAGTAAAATAGTGTGAAAAGGAGGAAGAGATTTATAAGTAATAGGAGGAGATGAAGATTGTTGGTAATGTGAATTAATAACCATTTATTCCTAGCAATGTACCACATCAGGTTGACATCCACATGGTTCCACATATGAAACCAACCACTATGATAAATTCATAGTGAATTTGTCATGATGAGCTAACTGACCTGACTTCATGCTCATTTTACCATCCTCCATTGGTGCCCTGTCAGCACAGATGGAAGCATCATTCCATTATCATTTCTTGGAAAAAATATATATAAGTAATGAGAATTGGGGGCCCTATTTTTTTTTTTTGTTGATGATAATGATATGGTGCTACCGCCTGCGCTAACGGTTTACGCTGGCAGGACACCAGTGGAAGATGATAAGATGAGGTCAGGTCAGTTAGCCCATCGTGACAAATTCACCCGGAATTTAACATGATGGTTTCCAGGGGGAACCGCGTGGAGGTCAACCTGAAATGGTACATTGCTAGCAATGGGGTCATGAGACTACATTACTAACAATTCCCTACCCCCCTGGGGGCCCTATTGCTAGCAATGTACCAAGTCTGGTTGACCTGGGAAATCATCAAGGTTGACTGGTGCCTACCAATGTATACTGTAAGGGTAGGTTAGAAAAATTCCCTGATTACCCATAAAAAAATATATACAATTCAAATCAAAGTGTCTTTAATTTTATAGGTCTATTATGGACATTTATAACAGATAAATCCACAATGCAAATGCAAAATTCCTTTGGAGAGTAGTTTGGACTAAGAAATACTGAAAAGAAATTTAACTGTGACTATTTCCAAATGATATCAAAATAATACAGATTAAATATAGCGCGAATACAGTAACCAGAAGCATATGTTATTGAATAATACACATAAACAAACCTGATAAAAGTCATCTGTTCTCTCCTTACGTGCTAAACACTGGACTATACTCTTCACAGGACTGGGCCCTAACTTAGGGCCCAGCAAATAAGGTCCCGCCTTACGGACATACTTATCCGGAACTATGGTACCAGCAAGTGGGACATCACTCTTATTGTATGTCACCTCACATTTCTTTGAATTAGTCTTTTTAGAATTCTTTAGAACACCACTAGAAGTTGAGCTGGCGTAGGCTGAAACTCTAGCGATCTTCGGGCTTGGTTGCAGGAGCAAAGGTCGTGTCCTCTTTCCGTGATTTGTACTGCTTTCTGGCTTTTGCTGATCCATAACTTTACGGGAATAACAGCTGAATTTGGATCACTCCTGTCAATTATGTACACGAATTAATTTGTTTACCAATCAGATTATTATTTGAATTCAATGAGTTTCAAAACTAAATTGATGAATACCAATAGGATTAATTAAATAAAATATTTTTTTGACTATTTATTTACCTTATTTGGAACGAAAATGTCTGATCTTGCTCGTTCAGAAGTTAATTTACTATATGCATATATATTTTGTAAATTTGTAACATATTTTATATAAACTTAGGTTACATTAATTATTTAGAAATATATATCGATATTTAAATTTTTATTCATTCAATTTCTACCTGCTTTTTTAATTTCATTTTCTGATACTTTTATTTTTTTCTTTACTTCTGAACGAAACTGGTTGTCATTTTTCAGTCAGTAGACTGAATCTATGATCATTTTATTGATAAAGGTGTGTACACATGATATCAAACAGCTTGAAAGATTTCACTTTTAGTGAAGTCTTTCGAGCGCGTTATTTGTCCGTTTCCAGAAAACAATTTTATTATATTCGTCATATTTAGTCAATTTTATTATTTCGTCAGTTTAGTTACACTGAGCAAGTAATAATAACTTTTTAAAATGTGACTACATTTATTGCTTTTAAGTTTCCTAAGAACCAATGGGTAGGCTATTTTACAATATCTATTATTTATAATTATAAAAAAAAGTTCAATCAAAAATTATCGCATGGATCATGTTGAAAAATGTATTACACACACTCACAGACATACATTATAGTTAAGTCCGAGAACATTATTATAATATAACTAATTGTACCTAAGTATGACAAATTTGGGTATTATTTTTTATTGTAATACATAAAGATCTCGAAATTTCAAGAAACTACAATAATTTATAATATTATTGTAGTACCTGTGAAGATAAAAATTGATAATTATGTATAAGGTTTCTGTCTGTGTCTATAAACATTATTATATTTTTGAAAATTAAAAATTATTGTGTGTATGGGGTTCAATTTCCGGTGGTTTACGTGACTGTCAAATTAGATACCTATTTGATCGAGTTTTTTGACAAGTTGACATAACTTTTCTAACCATGTTTTGTCATGATATTTCTTGATGATTTTTCCTGATTTAATTCTTAGTACAGTTGTGCAATAATACTAAAAATATTAATTATTGTAAATAGACAAAAGATTTGAGCAGCATGTGGAAGGGTCTCAGGTTAACACATTCACAGTTATCAAAGATACATTTCAATGGCCATAAGCTTCAACCTATTGGAGTTCCAGCCTTAGATTCTGTGTTAAATCAGTGGTATGAGTTCTGCAAAAAGCCGCCCAAGGGCTTCGAGAAATACTTCCAACCAGGTACCAGCCAGAAACAACAGAAAACACCCGATAAAGATGGAGCTCCGACACCATCGAAAAATTCACCGCCTTCGCCGAAACCCAGCTCGTCTCCAGATAAATGGAATATGAATATGTTTTCAAATACTACAGGAGGCGGCAGAGGTGGCGGCCGAGGCGGATACGACGGATCCGACAAGGAGAAATGGATGATGTTTGGCGCTTTGGGGGTGATGACATTACTCGCTTCGTTTGCCTATTTCGAGCTTCGATACAGAGAAATTAGTTGGCGAGACTTTGTGAATTTATATTTAAATAAGGGTACCGTAGAAAAATTGGAAGTGATCAACAAAAAATGGGTGCGTGTGAAGTTACACCCTGGATCAGCACTGGAAGGAAAAATTATTTGGTTTGCAATCGGCAGTGTTGACTCCTTTGAAAGGAACTTAGAGAATGCACAAGTAGAGATGAGTATAGACCCACCAAACTTTGTTCCTGTTATTTATAAAACTGAAGTTGAAGCATCCAGTCTGACAGGATTATTGCCGACATTACTTATAATAGGCTTTTTAATATACATGATGAGGAGATCAGCTGATATGATGGGCAGGGGAGGCCGTAAAGGTGGTGGTCTTTTCGGCGGAGTTATGGAGTCAACCGCAAAGCTAATCAATCCCACCGATATTGGTGTTAAATTCCAAGACGTGGCTGGATGTGAAGAAGCTAAAATTGAAATTATGGAGTTTGTCAATTTCCTAAAAAATCCACAGCAATACATCGATCTAGGGGCAAAGATACCAAAGGGTGCATTACTGACTGGGCCACCGGGCACTGGTAAAACATTGCTGGCAAAAGCAACATCGGGAGAAGCAAACGTCCCATTCATTACGGTCTCTGGTTCAGAGTTCTTAGAAATGTTTGTGGGTGTTGGTCCATCCAGAGTTCGAGATATGTTTTCGATGGCACGAAAGCATGCTCCATGCATTCTTTTCATTGATGAAATTGATGCTGTTGGTAGAAAGAGAGGTGGACGCAGTCTTGGTGGGCATTCAGAGCAGGAGAACACTTTAAATCAGCTTTTAGTTGAAATGGACGGATTTAACACTACCACCAATGTGGTGGTACTAGCTGCAACAAATAGAGTTGATATCCTTGATAAAGCTCTTCTTAGACCTGGAAGGTTTGACAGACAAATCTTTGTACCAGCACCAGATATTAAGGGCAGAGCATCTATATTCAAGGTCCATTTAGCACCGTTAAAGAGCTCATTGAATAAAGAAAATTTGGCTCGTAAAATGGCTGCCTTAACACCAGGTAATTATCAACTAAACAAAAATTATAATTTCTTTTATTTTTTTTATCTGAGTACATTTGCGATCAGTCCCAGGACTATATCCGAATCTGTTTTGTTATGTAGAGTGGCTTCCTATTGGAAACTTCTACTCATCTGCATCCTAAAGTTACTCCTGATCTGCTATCTCCAGGATGAAGGTGTTTTAGCTTAACTAATTTCTTTTATTTAATTAATATTCTCAATGTCATAGGGTAAGATTATTAAAATATATAGATGGCACTGATAAATTACATCACATGATAAGAGAAGGGTGCTGAGGGTGTGACTTTGTGTGAAGAAGGGGTGGAAGAGGTCCTTACATTTCCAGACATATTTCGAAACTTAATGTAAAACACAAAATATGAACTCTTAGCAAAAAACTTATAGCCCCGTCTCCCTAGTGTGACAAGAATGACAGGAGGAGTAAAAAATTATATAATTCTTTAGTATCCATAAGAAAGGCTCTGCTTAGCTAGAAACTAGTGGCACTGTGTGTAATTTTCCAGGGTTATTATTCAAATTCAAATTCTTTACTCTGAGTTAACTATCATTATTATGACTACTTACTGTAATCAACATGAAAAAAACTGACTTCAATAACATTATTAAGGACAACTTAAAAACTTTAAAATTTAACCAAGTTCTGACCTAAATAAGATCTCATACAAAAACCTTTTAAGGTAACACAAAAAAGAATACTAATAAGTGTAATTGAGAATCTCTGTTTTTTAATTCCGTTAAAAAGTGTAGAACTAGACAGATGAGTCTATGTCCTTTCTACGTAGTTGTTCACATTATGTAATTTTATTCGTTATGATTCCAGGTTTCACAGGCGCCGATATCGCCAATGTATGCAATGAGGCAGCACTGATTGCAGCTAGAGAACTCGCAAACGACATCACCATGAAGAACTTTGAACAAGCTATTGAGAGGGTAGTCGCTGGCATGGAGAAGAAATCCAATGTTCTTCAACCAGATGAAAGAAAGATTGTTGCCTATCATGAAGCTGGGCATGCTGTGGCTGGCTGGTTCCTACAACATGCAGATCCTCTCCTTAAAGTCTCTATTATACCTAGAGGAAAAGGTCTAGGATATGCCCAGTATTTGCCAAAAGAACAATATCTTTACAGTAAGGAACAATTGTTTGATCGAATGTGTATGACTCTTGGAGGCAGGGTAAGTGAAGAAATATTCTTCGGCAGGATCACAACAGGCGCACAAGATGATTTGAAGAAGATAACACAAAGTGCATACGCTCAAATAGTGCACTATGGCATGAATCCTAAGGTTGGTAATGTCTCATTCGAAATGCCACAACCTGGAGAAATGGTCATCGATAAACCCTATTCAGAGAAAACGGCGGAATTAATAGATTCTGAAGTAAGAGATTTGATTTCAAACGCACATAAACACACAACCGATTTGTTAACAAAACACAAAGAGAATATTATCAAAGTCGCGGAGCGTTTATTAAAACAGGAGATTCTTAGTAGAGATGACATGATAGAACTATTAGGAGCGAGGCCTTTCCCTGAAAAGAGTACTTACGAGGAGTTTGTAGAAGGGACCGGATCTCTTGAAGAGGATACAACTTTGCCTGAAGGACTTAAGGATTGGAATAAAGAAAAACAAACACCTCCTACTGAAAGCGTACCCTCGGGGGCTAGTGCCAGTAAAAATTAAGCTCTGTAGATTATTGTTTTGTAGACAGTTATATGTGAAATAAATATTTTAATTACCTTTAAGACTTAAAGGAATTTTTCGTTTGCCTGTATGTGTGTAGTTATTTTCAGATAGTTCTGAAGAGTGGTTCAAATGATGCTAGTGTTACAGGTGGCAAAGTAAATTAGTACATCGTTAATATGACTGTTTGAATGTATTTTATTTATTAACAAAAGGCTGTTCATGTATTTAAATCTGTAATATAGCCGCTTGTATGTTACATAATTATATGCTTTTTGTAAAATGAATAAATTCCTCGAGCTTTTAATGGTTTAAAAACGTTTCGTCGATTATTCCCCTACATATAAAATATATACACGCCCTATCAGAATGTCTACTGTATTAAAGTTAGGAATTAACAAATCATGTGTCATCAATCTAATTAGGTTTCGGGCGGAACGTCCTTATGATGACTAAATTTGAGAGTGCTATGCAATTATACGGCCCGACTGATGGTAAACCAACGAAATCCGTGGCAATTTGCAACAACAGGCAATATACTTGTCATTAGCAATTCGGTCTTATGACAAATCGGATACCAAGCTACAAATCTCTGCATAGTTTAGCATCTAATCTATGTAAGTATATAATTATGTACTTGACAAGAATAATTATAAAAAAGGGTGCAAATGCATTCAATAAAACTGAAACTACTATATTAAAGAGAAATTATCTCACCTACTTCTATATGCAAGTACATTGTTTAGAACGTTGTTTGTAGTTGGAAGGGGATTGTTAGTAACGTGGATTAATAACCCTATTGCTAGCAATATATCAATATCTGGATGACCTCCACGCGGATACTCCTGGAAACCATCATGTTAAATTCTTGGTGAATTTGCCACGATGGGCTAACTGACCTGACCTCATGCTCATCTTATTATCCTCCACTGGTGCTCCGCCAGCGTAAACCGTTAGCGCAGGCGGGATCATCATTCCATTATCATCCATTAAAAAAAAGTGTTTTGTTTGTTTAAAGAAGAATTTGAAGCTATGGAGGCCAGCTGCGGCCGAAAGTATTAGAGTAGTAAAAAAAACCATTCCGAAGGTCTAAGACTCTAAGAAATCATGTCTTTGTATCCTTTTCTTTACATATGGAAAAATCTTTACAGAGACAGTTCTCCCGCTGGAGGAATAGCAAAGTGGCTATATGAGATTCTTACTAAAAACGACATGGTGTAACTACGAGTCACTGATGCTGTAGTCATGGGGTCGCAGTAGCATATATCTGTATCCTGAAGTTTGAATTATGCCAATAACAAATAAGGTATTAGATGCATTGGGATATTTTATTTCTCGTTGGTACGTATAAGGGTTTTACCAGTCATCTACTCTATGGTACAAGTGAATGACATCAGTTAGAACTTTGTCAAAATTGTAAAGCTTGAGTTCCACTATATATATTTTAATAGAATTAAATATATATTATGTATAATGTAAATACATATTTATGATGATTCAATGCAAGTCTATTAGTATTTTAGGTATATTTATCCCAATTGAGTTTCTCATCTATGTTCTGGTGCGTGGTAACTCATTCACAAATAATACCTACATTACTAAAGAGACTACTACATTTGTACATATAAAATGCTGTAATTTTTGTTCTCTTTAGTAAATGTAACAAACATTTAAAAACAATTAACTTTCTAGTTTATTCTTAGTTTTGGAAAATTGAATAATATGGAAATAAATTGTTTTTGCTATAACAAGTTTATTCGGGCGCTACGTATGAGAGTAGGAACAAAATAATGGACTACAATTTCGGGTACCAATATATTTAATTGGCCACTGGCTGAAATAATAAAAAATACATTGCCTTCAACCACGTAACGATGTCCTAGGGTGCACATATCCCATTAACAATTTTAATCGTCATTGGCCTAACTGTTGTTATTGTGATAGTTCGAGTCATAATTACAAACATGCAGTGTGCGGGGTGCAACCCTGTACATAAAATCGAAGGTAAAACCTCAACAAAAAAGAAAAAACAGGGTTATATTAAAATTATAATATGAAAATATTCAAATATCGGCCGAAAATACATCCGGCCCTTCTTTCTGTTTATTTAAATATTCACTACAATTAACTTTTTACATCACCAAATATCTTAAGTAAATTCAGTTTGTACAATATAAAAAGAATCTTATAATATTAATCTATTTACGCGAGTAGTGTATAACACGCCCGCGCTTCCTCTAAACGAGCGAACGACAATTAAGACAAATCATAACAAAAAATATCTAAAATTATGGTAATTATTACAAGTATAACTACACTATTTTTATGTTCAACATTTTATGTCAATATTTAATTATCAATCTATACTTAAGTCTAGCCTATGATATAACATTATAGATGAAACATTCTCATGATATCAATCAACAATAATCCATTAACAATTCTCATACACGTTCGTCGGCGAACGGAAATTAGGACTAATCTCGGCGGCGACGAAAGCCCGTATCAATGACAGTCTCTGAGCTTGTCGGCCTTGGGCTTGCGGCCGCGCTTCCTGGCGGAGGGCACGCCCTGCAGCAGCAGCGCGGCGCGCTTGGCGAGGCACGACTCGCAGAACCAGTCCTCGGAGGCGCCGGGCTCCTCGGAGATGCCGACGCACAGCCAGTGGTACCAGCCGTCGCAGCCGTCGCAGCCGATCATGGGCGAGCCGTTGTCGGGGCGGCCGCAGGCGGGGCACACCCAGATCTTGGTCCCGTGCTCGTCCACGTAGTAGGGCGTGGGCAGCGCGCCCGCCTCGTCCGACGGCGAGCTCAGCTCGTCGTCCAGCTGCTCCGCGGCGCCCTTCTTGAGCGGCTTCAGCAGGATGCGCTTGTACTTGTTGGAGTGCCCCGAGGGCGGGTGGTTCTTCCGCGCCGGGGAGCTGGCGCCGGGCGGCGGGGAGGCGGGCGCGTCCTCCGCGCTGTGGTTGTGCTTGGAGTGCTTGGTCTTGGGCGGCCTGGTGACCAGCGCGGAGATCTGCGCCAGTTCCGGCGAGCGGCTGTGCTCCCGGGACGCCGCGGCGTCCCCGGAGGCCGCCTCGTCCTCCTCCTTCTTGACGACCGGCTTGATGTTCAACTTGAACAGGTCGGGCGAGCTCGGCGGCATCGGCGAATTAGAGTTAGACCGCGAGGAGCTCAGCTTCAGCGTGAGTTTCGGTATTAACCCGTCCGCTACCTTCTCCTTCTTTTTCTCTTTCTTCTCTTTTTTTATTTTATCTTTTATTTCCTGTTTCTCCTCTTTTTCTCTCTTCTTTTCTGATTTGTCTTTATTCTTATCCTTTTTATCCTTCTTTTTCTTTATCTTTATACCATCTTTATCTTTTTTCTCTTTCTTATGTGACTTTTCTTTTTTCTTTTCTATATTATCTAGCTCTCTATCTTGGGATACCTCGGGGATGGACTCCTTGATGGGTTCCAGTTTCGGTTCAGGTTGAGGAGGTGCGATGGGAGCTGCGGCCACAGAAGGCACTACAGGTTCAGATACAGGCGAGCGACTGCGTACTGGAGGCTCTCTTGGCTCAGGTCTCACTGGTTCTGCTTTTGGAGGATTCAGTTCTATTGTAATATCTGGCTGTACAGGTGGCATTTTAAATAAACTCGATTTATGATCTTTATGGGATTTAGACTTGTGTTTTTGTAATATATTTGGAATGGTTGGAGATTTGTGCTTATCATGTCTATCTTTTTCGCGCGACATTAGAGGAGATTTATGTAAGCCTCGATCTTCGTCATTATCGACGGGTATCACCTCTAAGCTAGGGCGCCGTAACATCGAAGGTATTTTCATTGATGCAGACCTTGATGTGTGTGCAAAGTTGTCCATTGACATAAGTGGATTATGTAAACCAGGATTTAGACTGGAAGCCAAGAAACCTGGACCTGGAATTATACCAGGCCCACCTACTCCTAAGCCGGCAAAAGGGTTCGAGAGGAGATTTGATGGACCAAGACCTCTTAATGCTGGATTATTAGCTAAACCAGCAAGGAAATCATTCCCAGGTATTAAACCAGGGTTTGGTATTAAACCTGGCCCTGGCATTAAACCTCTACCTGGTATGTTAGGGAAAAAGGGAAACCCAGGGGGCAGTGGCATTTTTGAATCACCTTTTGCTCTTGACTTTGATGGTTTTGGATGACTCATTTTCAAAACTTGTTGTTCAAACAACTTTTGTTGTTGCTTTTTTAACAATTTAGCTTCCAATTTTGCCACTTTGTCTTTTTTATCTTTGTGTTTCTTTTCTTTTTTCGTTTTTGGACTTGTGCTAGCTAGATCTTTGGGAAATGGTACTTGTAAGGATTTGTTAATGGATAAACTTGGACGAGGTTCATTTTGAGGAGGTCTAGTTTGTGTTACTGGTGCAATAAAGTCCATAGAATCATCATCAATACTTATAACTTCATTACTTCTTATGTCTACTATAGACAAATTTACAGCACTGTTATCATTATTATTAACAACTGGCTCTTCAGGTTTCATTCTAACATTTTCATGTGTTCTATTATTAATTGCATTGTGATGCACAGAATTATGTAACATTGAGATCATGGAATCAGAATGTGACTTATCTGGAACAACCTCTGGAGTACTCTTATCTTCTTTAGATTTGTTCGTTATTCTTTTAAATATATTAATCTTTGATCTATCAGGTTGAGAAGCTAATTTCTCCTCTTCCTCAATTACTTCTTTCTTGATTTCTATATCAGGTATAAAGGAATTTGTATGTTTATTTACAGGTATAGAATTAGATACAAGAGGTGATTTTGATATTGGAATTTTTCTTGGTACAGGAATTGCTTCTTCCCCAGGGAGAAAGTTCTTCGATATTACCGGTGGTGGATCTATAGGTTCTTGCTTTATGACCGGTCTGACAATTTCAGGGACTATTGGTGCTGTTGGGGGTGGCATGACATTAATGAGGGGTGGTAGAGTAGGGCGCGGCGCCGGCATTGTAACATGATTATGATGGGTTGGATGAAGTTCTTTGCTTTTCATAAGACGTCCAGGTGGATATTTATTCAATTTACTATCTTTTGATTTACTACTTTCACTTTTATGACTTTTATCTTTTCTTTTACTTTTCATAATTTTACCATTCAATAACTTATTCTTCTTAGATTTTTTATCACTTTTATCTACTACTGGTGCTTTCATGGTATTAGAATGATGAGAATTTGGTTTATGTTTTTCATAATGTTTCTCTGACACAATTGTAGGAGGCCGCGCTTCGGGTAGTTTTCCTTCCCTCGCTGGTGAGAGAAAACCAGACATGGTCATCATTACACTGCTAATTTCTCTAGTCCTCTCTTCTTCTTCCAATCGGAACCTTGGCCTTTTGCTGTTTGGCAATGACACAGGATCAATTGGCCTCTTAAAAATGTCTTTTGGTTTTTCGGGACTGTCAGTAACAGATATCTCTGGACTTGGACACTTTGTATTCATTTCACTATTATCAATGCCATTCTGATGAATCTCAATAGTACCTGCAACAGCCGGTGTGTCCCGTTCCTTTTCTGGGTACATTGGAGGGAGGTGTTCATGAACATGCACAGGTCTTGTGACAACCTCATGACTACCGGGTTTAAGAAAATTCAAATTGGATTCTTTAGGTTTTGGAAACCTTTCACCATTGGTTGGTGCTGCTACAGGTGGCACAGACCGAGTATACTCTGCCAACTCAGGTAATTGCACATGTAAATCGCGAAATACTAATCCTAAGTCATGTAAATTTGGTTCAGTCCTATTAAATTGTTCTGCATATCTGCTAGCTTGAGTGCCAAGTGACTGAATGTATTTCTCTAACACATGAACCAGTATGTCCAGTGGAGTCGAGTTTATTCCGTTCCATCCTATAGTTTGACATATTTGCGCAACATTCCTTCGAAGTATCTCGCGGGCGTACGCCTCTGACATTATTACACCAACAAGTTATCTGGAACAAACGAATATGTCACATAAACTACGGTAAATTGAACAAAAATAACTAGATATCCATTAGAAAATAATATTTACCGCTATCACTATAGAATAAGAATAGATCAGTTGTGACAGTATAGCTAAAACAGCAGTTCTCATGATTTTCATACCTGCAAGTGTCCAATGGCACAGAGACGTGAACGCGAACAGGTGGAAACTCCAAGTTTGGAACACACATGTATGCTTTACTATAATCTTCAAGAATCACGGATAATTTATATAAACACAAAAATCGGTTTGTGTGCAAAATAATGAAGTGTTTACGTAAAAACTTCTCAGCATTCTAAAAACACAGTGCCCCGTGCGCCATGATTGCATTTTGGATTGTCAATGTACATTGTTGCCAGACAGAAAAAAAGATAATGGCGATGGCGGTTTATTGAGATGCGTTCGAATAGCTCTAATTGTTTATCAATTTCAAATCTTATGAATTTTAAGGTGTTATTTTTTTTAATTTATAACTGATTATACTACAAATTATTACTTATTATAACATTATTTCTATTCTGATTACTTCATTTTTCAACATTGAAACCTTTACATATAAAATTTGTAAATAATACGTATTTTTATTTAAAAAATAGTAACTGCAATTTATTTTAGATACATGCATTATTGCTATATAATTAGTAATAGAAATGTTTCTTAGCTTAAATTTAATTATAGGTGCAAACTTATTATTGTAATATGTTCTTTTATATCATAGAGTACATTATAATAGAAATTATTCAAAGACAATATAGAGACTTCTACATATATAAAACTGTCTGTTCTGACAGCTTTAGCTGATAGATATAAGGACAGAGACAAGTTTCTCAAACAAAATGTTCTGTGCAAACAAAAATGCACTGCGAATGGTTCGTGCATTGCCTAGAATTTCATTTTTTGTGTAATTACAACTAAAATGCGTTTTACACGAGAATATATACAAAATTTTTAACTTTAATGCTGTCATTAAATGTATCGAAAACAATTTTATATTGGGAAGTGGAAATTAAAATTCTATTTTAGTATTACTTGAATTTTGTCCTGTGATATTCGAAGTTCGGGAGTTGGAAATTTTAATATTCATAAATTTTGGTAAGATTTCGGCTGTGGAACAATGACTACGTCTTCTGAGGACGTATTGCTCAGCGTCAGTTATGTGAAATATAAAAAGGGCGATGGGACTTTATACGTAATGAATCAAAGACTGGCGTGGATGCTTGAAAATCGAGATACAGTGGCAGTTTCACATAAATATGCCGATATCAAAAGTGAGTTCTCTTTAATTACTATGTACAATTGGTAAAGTAAAGTCACTTCAGCTTACTCAATGTGTATTTGTTACATCTATGAACCTATGTGTAAGTACAAATTTATTAAATTATTCTTAAAAAATCATTGTATCATACTAAGAACAGGGGACTTGAAATAGTGCCAGTGCTGTGTGCAGTAGTTATTTGTGCAGATTATTTAAGTTAATAGCTTTTTTTTTATAAAGAAGTTTATTTTTCTAAAACACTGATAAGTACTTGACTATATAAAGATACAATGGATGTTTAGTTTAAAGTTCAAAGTACATTAAATTAATTTGTATGTAATTTGTATCATTGTATCAGTATAATAAATAGTCATTAATGTTATATAATTGTAAAACAATTGAATATAATGGGTTCTAAGTGAAACTTGTGGAGAATTATAAAATAATTTTAAGATATTTTGTTACTGTGAAGTGGCTTTAATATTTATACTATACTAACTGTGCCCAAGGTCTCACACCCATGAAATTTATAGCCTATATGTTATTCTGATGTAATCTATATTACTGTAAAGTTTCATTACAATCTGTTTAGTAGTTTTTGAATGAAAGAGTAACAAATATCTATACTCACAAACTTTCGAGTTTATAATATTATTAAGATTATTTTCAACTTTATTTGCTTTTTTTGAGATTGAAGGTAGTTATGTCTATGCTACCATCATGACACAGACAGCCTCAGCAGTCTAATGGTGCAGCATGAGACTTTACTTAGTCTGTGTCCATACTACCATCTACCTCATGACAACAGCCTCACCGGTCTAACGGTGCAGCATGAGACTTTACTTAGTCTGTGTCCATGCTGCCATCTACCTCATGACAACAGCCTCACCGGTCTAACGGTGCAGTATGAGACTTTACTTCCAATAGTTGTGGTTCAATTCCTTTCAAGATGCAAATATTTGCATTCATGAATATGATTGTTTGTATAGGTCTGGATGGTTTCTGTGTACATAATGTATGTATTTAAAACTATTTAAGCATTTATGTCAGCTGTCTAGTATCCTTAACTTATGCTCTGCTTAGCTTGAACTAGATGAATTGTCTAGGTATATTTATTATTATTATTATTTATATCAAGTTTTTATATTAATTTTAGTTTAGTCATACTTTCAGTGCTGTATCTCGCACCATTCAAGGAAACAGCTTTTTCAATGAGTTGTGGCCACTGAAATCTATACATCTATACCTATAAATAAAATTGGAGTGCATGTTTGTAATATTGAACCAACCAGCATATGAATATAAATATGGTACATTCACCAAAATAATATGTCTGTCTGTCTGTTTGTTCCGGCTAATCTCTGAAACGGCTGGACCGAAGTTACTCCTTATTATATCAGCTACCTATCAAAAAAAGTCCCGTCAAAATCAGTCCAGCCATTTCAGAGCTGGAACTAACAGACTGACAGACAAGAATTTTAAGAAATGTTATTTTGGTGTATGTACCATATTTATATTCATATGCATGTAGTAGAAAACGGTTATTTCAATATTACAAACAGACACACACTCCAATTTTATTTATATGTATAGATTAGCTGTACCCATGGTTTCACCCATTTGGTATCTTGACAGATAACTTTGTACAAAGTGTAAAATTGTAAATGCTATTTCTATTTTCAGCACAAAAAATATCACCAGCTGGCAAACCAAAGGTCCAATTACAAGTGGTGTTGCATGATGGCACTTGTTCTACATTTCATTTTGTCAATCCCGCCGGTGCGGATGCACAGGCGAAGGACAGGGACCAGGTGAAGATGCTGTTGCAGAATCTTCTGCCAAAGTTCAAGAGACAGATAGATGGCGAGCTGGAAATGAAATCTAGGTAATGACTTGTTATTTACTCTGGGTGTTGTGTGACCTACCTGCAGGTGTTGGGTTATGGTGTTTGTGCCACTAAGGATGGTGGTTAAGGCGTAAAGGTCTATAAAAGAAATTAAACAGGTCTGAACTTGCTTACTCATCTAGTTATCTAAATATATATCAAAGGTGACTGACTGACATAGTGATCTAATAACGCACAGTCCAAGCCACTCAACGGATCGGGCTGAAATTTGGCATGCAGGTAGATGTTATGACGTAGGCATCCACTAAGAAAGGATTTTGATTAATTCTACCCTCAAGGGGATAAAATAGGGGATGAAAGTTTGTATGAAACTTTGTCAATTTTAAACCGATCGGGCTGAGACTGCATGCATAAAGCTACTATGACGTAGGCATCCCCTAAAAAAGGATTTGGATAAATTCCACCCCTAAGGGGATAAATTAACGCGCGCGAAGCCGCGGGCAAAAGCTAGTATATTATAAAACCAATTGGAAATGAACACTACAATTTAAAGATTTCCACAATAGTAGTGAAAACAGCACCCTTAACAGACGCACAGACAAACAATATGTCTGCATAATATCGCAAAGGTCCTATCTTCTTTTCTTCTTAGCACTGTCTCACTTTGTGCGGGGTCCGCTCTCCTAATTTTCTCTCTCTCTTCTCTCCTTTTTCGGCGCCAGGACAATCTGTCTTGGGTTGTCGGGTCGGGTAATTTTTCCGCAGCGATAATCTTCCTCATGCCTCATGCTTTTTTTTTATCACATTATCCTCGTCATTTCGCATTCGTCATGCAGTGAATGTATTTTTTAAATAATTGTTTTTAATAATGATATAAAATGAAATTTTATTACTTAAAATATGGTACCTACCTACTATTACGTAGATAAAGTCCACCAATAATATTTTTTCTCATATATCTACACTTGCCCCTCCGATCGATCCCCCGTCCAATTCAAACGGGGATCGAAATTACGACGGCCTGAGCCGAGGTGCGAACCCCTAGTGGTGCCCTCAGACTAAAGTCGTATCCGTCAGGCAGGAGTTGGCCTTCAGCCGCTCCATAAGTCCTTCCGCGGGTTTGGAGTGCCATCTGCACTCGCCCTCTAACGTCCGGTGAAGCTGTAAAGGCCTGCTGCGGCTAACAGCATTAGAGTAAACCGAAAAAAGAATTTAAAAAAAAGTCTAGACTTATTTTTTTCATAGATTTAGAACCTTTAGACTATTGCAGAAATAATTTTTTTATCACTGTCTGAACCATCCAGTGTGATAGCTAATTCTGTTGAGAAGAACTGGCAAGAAACTCACTTGGTACTTGTTTTTTTTTAAGCAGTGAATTTCTTACTTTTTTGTTATATGTGTAGCTGAACAGAATACTGAACAAATCAAATATAAAAATGTGAATAGTCAGTACACATTTATTGATTGTAATTTGAATGGTAAACAAGCTTTCGGTCTACCTAATGGTACTCATAAGTGGTAAGTTATATTATTATATAACTCCCAGAATACCACTTATGCAGTGACAAATGTGCATAGCAATAGTTGTTCATGCACAGAATTTCAATTTAATATTAGACATAGACACCTATAACATAGATAACATAGACATATATAAGTATTCAATGTAAATAAACTGACTTTAAAAAAAAGCAATTTAGTTGAGTTTTTTGCCAGTTCTTCTCAATTGAATTTGTTTACTGAATTGGATGGTAGGGAAAAAATATTAATACAAAAACTTTAAATTCTGAAGATAATGAGGGACCAAAATGTCCCACATGATTTTTTTTATTTGATTTGTTTTGTATTGTTATTTGAATAAAGTTTATTTGTGCTAAGTAATATAACTTATTGTTTTTTTACAGGTTACTCTCCCTACATCCTATTTTAAAGCATTTATATGAAGACTTAGTGATATCAAAAGTAATTAATAGTGAGGAATATTGGAACACACCTACATTAAAACATTACACGGAGTCCAATAATGTTAAACAAGAGGCTGGTAAGTTATATTAAACACTAGCTGTTCCCGCGACTTCGTCCGCGTGGAATTTAACTTAATTTTTCTATAAAAAATAAATAATAATGCCTAAGTTACTCCTTATTACATCAGCTACCTGCCAATAAAAGTCCCGTCAAAATCGGTCCATCCATTTCAGAGATTAGCCGGAACAAGCAGACCGACAGACAGACAGATAAAAATTGTAAATAATGTGATTTTGGTGTATGTACCGTATATATATTCATATGCATGTAGTAAAAAACGGTTATTTCAATATTAAAAACAGTCTACTTTTTCCCAATTTTACCTCTAATCTTTATTTTGTTTGGATTTTTGTTTGGATTTGGGATTTTTTTTCTTTTGCTAATTCTCTGAAAACCTTTTATAGGATTTCTTTAGAAATGTGCCCTTGTGAAATTTTTCTACAGGTGTTTCTGGAGCGTTTCTGGCGGATATCCAGCCCCAGACTGACGGGTGCAACGGTCTGAAATACAATCTCACTCAAGACATAATAGACGCAATATTCAAAACGTATCCAGCAGTAAGAAAGAAACACATAGATTATGTACCCAATAAGATGACAGAAGCCGAATTCTGGACTAAGTTCTTTCAATCACATTATTTTCATAGGTAATTGTTTGTTCAAAATTAAAGAAAAAATCAATTCAAAATATCTTTATACATGTAGGTCTATTACTTATTGTCAGCCTCGGTGGTCTAGTGGTTTAGCACACCGCTTTACAATCCGATGGTCGTGGGTTCGATTCCTCGCACGGTACAAACATTTGTATTCATGAGTATGATTGTTTGTATTGTTCTGGGTGTTTTCTATTTAAATCTATAAATATTGTATAGATATACAAAAATATCCATGTATTTATATCAGTTGTCTAGTACCCATAACACAAGCTCTGCTTGGCTTGGGACTAGATGGCGTTGTGTGAATTGTCCTGAGATATTATTATGATATATCAAATCTACCGTCAGTTCGGAATGATTTCGAGACGAGAAGAACTGACAAGAAACTCAGCTCGTATTCTTTTGAAATGAATGTTATACATGTTTACAATAATATATATTCATTATAAATTCAAATTTGGGAGAATAGACTGACCACCAGCATATACTATTACAAAGTGTTCGTAACCTGAACAGACAGTCCCCACAAGCAGCACCCGTTCACGAGTATGACGGTGTATGATGTTAGAAAGTTATATCTATCTTTGTTTTATATACAACACTCGCTATTGCCGACACTGTCTGCTGTTTTGGATTTAAGATAGTGTATGATGGTCAGCCTTAAATAACAAGCAGATAGACACTTTAGAACGGTCGGGATTTGATAACAACTAGAGAAAGTCGTAATGCTTTCCTGTATATGTGTCTTTTTTTTTCGGACTAGTCTAATGCTGTTGGCCGCAGCTGGCCTTTACAGCTTCACTGGTCGATAGGGGGCGAGTACAGATGGCACTCCACACCCGCGGAAGGACTTATGGAGCGGCTGAAGGCCAACTCCTGCCTGATGGATACGATTTTAGTCTGAGGGCACCACTAGGGGTTCGAACCTCGGCTCAGGCCGTCGTAATTTCGATCCCCGTTTGAATTGGACGGGGGATCGATCGGAGGGGCGCCCGGGGACGCCGGTGTGGAGCGCCCGGTTGAATGCGCAATATTGTGTGTTTGGGGTCGTCGTCTTCGCCGGCGAGGACGGTGTCGTGTGTGTGTGTAAAAGTGTGTTCGGGTGGAACGGATGGGCCCGTGGGGAGGTTACCTGCCGTTGTGGGGTCGTCGGGGTCAATGAGAACGTGCCTCGGGCGACGTTGTCGCGTATGTCGGATATTACTCCTCGGTGCGTAGTCGACCGCACTGACTATAAGCGGGTTAGGGTGGGATTGGCCAGAGTCGAAGTAGTGTATGGTATACAAAGTAATAGTTCATTCATTCATAAATTTAAGACTACTGCGCTCTTGTCGGTGGAGCTCTTGCCACTTTCTACGATCTTCCATCATACTCTTTAAGCCTTGATACAGACTCCAAATCTGTCTTTAATTTGTTTGATGTAGCTGTGCCTCGGTTTTCCTCTCCCTCTCGTTCCTTCTATCTTTCCCTCAATAATTAGTTTCAAAAATTCGTCGTGCCGTATCAAGTGCTCCAACATTTTTCCTCTTCTACTTTCTATAGCATTCAATATCTGCCTTTTTTCTTTCATCCTGTGCAATACTTCTACATTTCTTAATAGTAGTGAAAAAAATCTCGGAATGGTGAGGTCGCTCCGTGAAGCATGAGAAGACACTAGTAGTCTTCTGCGCTTTTGGGAGGAGCTTGGCTGGCTACTTTAGTAGTATGGCTCTACACGAACAACGGCCCGAATGAGGCTAATTGCGGAGACTGGAGTCCAACATACAATACAATACAACACAAATAGTAGTGAAATTAAACAAAAGAATATCAATTTCATTAAATATTATTTGGTAATTTGTACAATTTCTAAATGAAGTATGGGATTTGTCATTTGTAAGTGTAGTTGTTATTAAACTCAAACTTTATAACAGAAACAAAATGGCCTCTTGAATGACTCGCGCTGGCTTAATCCGCTGCACTTATACACAGGGGACAAACGAGCATGCGGCTCACCTGATGGTAAGTGATTACCGCTGATCATGTGCACCCGCAACACCAGGGGAATTGCAAGTACGTTGTTGTTGCTGCTGTATGTATACAGGCAATAATGGATTGTTATGATGTATTTCCAGGGATCGTATAGCATCATCTTCCAGTAAGGACCTGTTCGGGGAATGTGCCAAAATGGACGACCATGCAATCGCGTCAGCTATGAAGCACACAACGCTGGATCTCACAGTATGTACTCAACTTTTGCCCGCGGCTTCGCTCGCATTAATTTATCCCCTTAGGTGTGGAATTTATCAAAATCCTTTCTTAAGGGATCTTTCAGCCCGATCCGTTCAGTGGTTTGGGCTGTGCGTTGATAGATCACTATGTCAGTCACCTTTGAGTTATATATTTATATATGGATAGAAGATTGATTATCCTAAAGCTGTTGACCGCAGCTGGCCTTTACAGCTTCACCGGACGTTAGGGGGCGAGTGCAGATGGCACTCCAAACCCGCGGAAGGACTTATGGAGCGGCTGAAGGCCAACTCCTACCGAGTGATACGACTTCAGTTTGAGGGTTATAATCACCGCTAGGGTTTTGAACCTCGGCTCAGGCCGTCGTAATGTCGATTTCCGTTTGAATTGAATTACATATTTAATTATATTTTATAACTGTGTACGGGTTTAATGAACTTATTACACAATGGGAAACAAATATATCTAAAGATCATACAATAAAAATAGATAAATATTACAAACTGATAAATGAATCAATGAAAAATGGTTATGTGATCTTGTTTATCATCCATTTTTTTTATGGATTATCATCCATAATAAAATGCTAAGTTGGTCTCTATACAATGGACGTGTGCTTACAGGTAGACCTGCCACAGTTCAGCGAAGCAGCGCCTCTAGAAGAGGATACGGAGCGTGAAAAGGATAATTCCATTCACCGCAACATGATCAAACGGTTCAATCAACACTCCATCATGGTAAGCATTATTATCATGCAATTTGAGGAATTTCATTGCCTAGACACCGCGCTAGGCATACCCCCAGGGGTACATGAAGTTGCAACAAGGGGTACGTGCGTATCAGTAAAACAAACATACACACGCACTCACAAACTTTCACATTTATAATATCAGTGTGATTGCTACAATAAGGGGTACGTAAAGTTTGAGGTCTTTTTTGAAGTGGTATGCAGCAAAAACTAATTGGGAACCACTGGCCTAGTGGTTTAACATACTGCCGCGGATGGTCGCGGGTTCGATTCCTCGCACGATGCAAACATTTATTTTCGTGAGTCTTATGTGTGTCACCTCCTGTGGTGACTTAATAATATACTGTATGATACAATCACACTTATGAATACAACAATTACTTGACACCGTCCGCGGATTTGAATCCTCTACGTTCGAAAGAAAATTGGTATGCAAATCCGCTAGACCACCGAGAATGTAAAAATAAAATTAATACATACTTTAGATACTAGTTCTTTGTTATCACTAAACAAATAAAAAATCTAAAAGCATTTTACTTTCTTTTCCAGGTGCTCAAAGCTAGTCATAAAACAAATTCTAGTAATATAAATAGCAGTAATAGTAACAAAACAAATAACAACAAAGTTGTTGAGAATGGTCTGAAAGAGACAAACGGTGTGGGCGAGAAGAGGCCAGCACAAGAAAATAGCACAGACCCACCGGACAGGAAGAAGAGAATATTAGAGAAGATACACTATGAAGATCTAGAAGATAGCAATAGGAGTGAAACTGCACAGGAATTGAAATTATCTAAGGTACTATTTTGTAGAATGAGGTGTTTCCAACAATCCATTTCACTACCTCATAAATTTATATTATTTTGTTTCATCCCGCTACTGATAACAATATATGGTCACAAATATTCAGTGCGAAAACTTGACTACCGTTACGACCTTCTTTTCTATTAGGTGATCTAATACAGTTTGAGGAACAGTCAACACTAGGCTTCCAAGGATATAGCTTACTGAACCAAACTCTATTTAAGGCCTGAAGATGCCTCGTCCAGGAGCAAAACACGTGGCACAATATTGGTATAGACTCAATAACCAATTAATAAAAAATTACAATAAGTTGCGTGACGAAATAAAAATACTACTGATAAATATGTTCAAAAGAGAGTTAAAAAGATGGCTGATCAATAAGTGTTTAGACTCTGTTGATGAATATTTTAATACATGAAGTAGGTAATCGAAGTACTTTTCCAGAAGTTTAATTTAATAATGAAGAAAATAAAATGTAACTGAGAAATATGTATACTTCTATAATAAATATACACTGTTAATTTTTGCATGCCAGTTTCTGGTGAAATGTGTGATACATAAATTATAATTTTTTAAGAAGATGAAAATCATTTATTGACAACTATTATTGATTTAAAATATACATTTACACATTTGACATAGGTACATTTTACATATGCACACACACACACACACATATACACATAGAAAAATTACAAAAAATCATCTTCTATTATTTATATATAAGGTTGGCAACATGGCTGACAGTCAGCATATGCCGTGACAGCTAGCTGTCACGGCGCTGGTATTCTATGCCTGTCATTAGTGACATCACGTACAGCTCGATATTTCAGTTCTTTTGACCTTAGTGACAGATGTCATTATTGTTACTGACAGTCAGCAAATATTTTTTTATATCCTGTAAACCACTTTTAAGGCAAAATAAAGGTACTTGTATTTGTAATCTCACACATGCTAATTGTAGAAGAATTAGACAGAATATTATAAATTATTAAGTAGTAAGGTACATCTGTTCATTGTCTGTAATTATAACATTTATCTTGATCGTTGAATTTGCGATACCTAGGTGTATTGTCAGGAATATCTATCCACAGTGATTTGCGAAGGTAGTTAGGAAGTATTTATTTTTAGATATCATGGTCATCCTTTACTGGTGGGGCACCGGTGTATATCTTTAGCACAAGCGGGTGTAACAATTCATTATTTTTCATTACAAATGCATATTTTAAAGTTATATTAATGTTGTTCACAGGTAGAAAGATATTTGTTAGGTCCATCGTCTCACACGACGCAGACGAGTGGTCACTGTAACAATCCGCCGCCGGTCTCCGCGTTAGCATCCATTTGTCAGGTGAGATATGCATGTTCGAATCTAAATATTATACTAGCTGTGCCCTCGGTTTCATCCGTGTGTAATTTATAGCCTATGTGTTATTTTTATGTAAGCCGACTGTGTAAAGTTTCAGCAACATTCGTTCAGTAGTTTCTGCGTGAGTAACAAACATCCATTCAAACTTTTGCGTTTATAATATTAACAAGTTTTTTTAATGAGGACAAAAGTTTGAAACGGAATCTTTAAGGGGTGCGGATGGATACAGTTTGATGTTACTTTTACCTACCAAAATCCTCCGGAACCGCCACAGTCGCCTTCGTGCGGGGCGGCCTCCAGCGGGACTCCCGCCGCGTGTGCGGGCCGCGCGCGTCACATCGCGTCTGAACATCGGATGCTTTCGGATCCTCCTCCGAGTGTCCGCGGCCCCCCCCCCCACCACCACCACTCACAGCAGCGCACGCGTGCTTACCATCGCCCACGCACTCCCTCCGACGTCGTCGCCCCGTGCCGTAGCCCGGGATGTCCTCCAGAATAGAATATAATAGAATAGAAAATCATTTATTCAACTAAACTTAATTTAAGCACTTTTGAATAGACATATTTTGATTCTACCACTCATTCGGAATGCAGATTCATCACAATAAGAATAAGCAAGAAACTTGTGTGTTGCTCTTTTTAATAGATGTTCTTTTTATATAAATAATTACAGTGTCACAAGTAAGAGGCATGCGATAATCAACATAGAAATGACTACGCACTCATTATTAATGTAATCAGATAATATTGTCAGTGCTATGTATTTAAAATTTTTCTACAAAAACATTATTATCGTTAACGAATTCTTCAATTTTATAGTAAGCTTTTTTGCAAAGGAACTGTTTTATTTGACATTTAAATCTTTTTTCTGGCAGATTTACAACAAACTCTGGTATTTTATTGTAAAACCTTACGCAATTACCATAAAACAAATTACTAACTTTAACCAAACGACATTTAGGTAAACTCAGTTTGTTATTGTTACGTAAGCTTTTATTAGTGCAATCACTAACTCTTTTGAAACTGTCTATATTCTTCCTGGCATACATGATATTTTCATAAATATATTGAAAAGCAACGGTGAGGATATTTGATTCCTTAAAGCACTCTCGCAAAGACTCCCTGGAACCCATGCTATAAATGGAGCGAATGGCCCTCTTTTGTAAAATAAATATTGTATTTATATCAGCTGCTTTGCCCCATAACAAAATACCATACGACATAATGCTATGGAAATAGCTAAAGTACACAAGTTTAGCCGTTGCCACGTCTGTTAATTGTCTAATTCTTCTTACCGCATAAGCGGCAGAACTAAGTCGACTCGCCAATTTAGTAATATGAGCACCCCATTGCAACTTGGAATCTAATGTAATACCTAGAAATACAGTATTGTCCACAAAATTAATAGGTTTATTGTCCAACATGATTTTTGAATCTACCGGCCTTACATTGGGGAGAGTAAATTTGATACATTTAGTTTTATTTGCATGTAGTAACATATTATTAGCCGTAAACCATTTTAAAACATAAGAGAGAGCACCGTTTACTTCGTCCAAATCATCAATATGTCGGTTGACTTTGAATAATAATGAAGTATCATCAGCAAACAGAACTATGTCAGCTATCTTTTCTACCATATAAGGAAGATCATTTATGTAAACTAAAAATAAGAAAGGACCTAAAATAGAGCCCTGAGGAACATCCATTTTAATACTAGTTCCCTCAGACTTTACACCATTTATTTCAACAACTTGCATTCTATTATTTAGATAGGATTTCATCATGCTTTGTGCTTCATATCTAATACCGTAATGTTCAAGTTTGAGCAAAAGTGTTTCATGTTCAACGCAATCAAATGCTTTTGAAAAATCACAAAATGCACCGACTGCATCCTGAGACCTCTCCCAAGAATCAAATATATATTTAATGAGAGCTACACCGGCATCAGTAGTTAATTTACCGGCCGTGAAACCAAATTGTCGACTGTGAAGCAGTTTATTTACTTTAAAGTGTTGCAGCATTTGATTGAGCATAATTTTTTCAAACACTTTACTCAATATTGGTAAGATTGATATAGGCCTATAATTACCTACCTCAGTTTTTTCTCCTGACTTAAAGAGTGGAGTTATTTTGCTATGTTTCATTAAATTGGGAAAAACACCGTCAGAAATACATTTATTGAAAATTGGCTTAGGGTAATCGACTGTTGCTTGTGATTTCTCTTGTGTCGGTTTCATCCTTCGGCTTGTGAGAACCTAGAAGTTCTAACTCATTTACACATGAGTATTTTTATTCCATACTCTTATATTTAATTTTATTCCATTTTTTATTTAAACGAAAAAATGTAGTTTCAATAAGAATGCCACCGACAAATATAAAAATTGAGTCTGAATATCTGAATAGCTAATACATAAAATTTTGACCCGCTTGTCTTAAAGCGAATGCCATTATTGTAAATTCGAAAAGTCCAAACGGAGTTACGATGGCGGTTTGCTCTGGTACTGCAGTTGGAATGGAATGATAAATTTTCCAGATGTCGATTTTGCTGAATATAGATTTTATACTAGAGTTATACGAGATATCCAATATCCTTGGTAATAGATACCGGTCTGGTACGGTAATATTATTCAATGCGCGGTAATCAACACATGGTCTTCATTCGTTATTGTTATTTTTCACCATGTGCAGTGAAATGTCACATGGACATCTTGATGGTCTGCATAGACCAATTTTCATTATGTCCTGGAATACCTTTTTTTTATTTATTCATTTATTTCAGGCAACTAGGCCCATATTATAAATACCTTATAGACTAACATACATATAATATAATATTTAAAAACGAATACAATGATATTGACTGTGTGATCACGGCACTGAAGACGGTAATCTGCCACGGTAGCGCCGATATACCACACCTTTCGGCCAGTAGTCCTCTTTCATGAAGGTGGACAGCAAGTCGGTGGGGACCAGGGCCACAAACATTTTGAAACTCGCGTTGTGACTCGACTTTAGCTGCGTCACCCTCAATGTCAGGTTACTCTTGGTACGAATAGAATCGACAATGTCCTGCTCCTTAGTGGCGTAATGTAGACGGGACAGGTACATTGTCGTGGTCGGTGTAGCAGCACGCAGCAGAAAGTTCGGCCCAGTGAGTGCAGTGCCACAATGGTTCCTATTGACCCTGTTTGTGCGCCTCTTCTTTTGTACCACGACGAAGCCATCATCGTCGCGGTTACCAGTGGCAGCACACGTAGGGTCAATGTTCAGTGCCGTTTTTGGCACACGCCGCTGTACTGAAGCAGTCGGTTTGCTAGCGACGACGGCGGCAAAATCTCGACGCTGTAGTTGCACCGAGGATTTTGTTAGCGCTGCAGCTCGCGAGCGAGCTGCGGGCGGGGAGCACGGGGGGCGCGGCGGGCGGCGGTGACACCACGTCTGGTGACGTCAGTGTCGACGCCGAAACCGCTGACTCCGCCGTGAACGCATCGCGGCATGCCCCACGGCGCGTGTCCTGTCCACTTCCTTGCGCAACTCACTAATTATGTGCTCTGACGCATTGAAACGTAGCGTCACATCTGCCAAACTCTTTTTTAAGGACACGATATCCTTGAGTAAGCTGGTAACATCGATGTGGTCAAATGAAACTGGAGTCTTTTTGGCTTTTTAGCTGCCTTATATTTGTTTCACTTTGTTGTGTTTTTCCAAAAGTTGCCTTATAGGTTTTGGGCAATTCGGAGTCAATGGAGCGAAAAGTACTGTGTGTATTTATGACGGTTCCGTTTGCGTCAAATGATTTAAAATCGCTAACGCTCTCCAAAGAGAACAGTACAATACTGTGCTTGTTTTCTTATCACCGAGATATTTGCTCCGGTGTCCACCAAAATTTATAACCACTGTTGGAGTCGGTTATAGTTAGGCGGTTAGAGGGACGAACAGCACTGAGTTAGTTTTTTGACGACTGTCTTTCGTGGTTCCAGGAGCAAGGGATCTGGCATTTATATGCTTTTTGTTTATATCTGCGATGATAATAACAATAGTCGTCATTTTGTTTTTGCTTTGGGTTAGTAGTATCGGGGTTGACGTCTGTATGTTTGTATGTGTCGACAGTCGTGGGCGGGCGTGGCGCGGCCGCTGCGAGCCAGCGCCAGCGCCGCCGTCGGCGCCCTCGGGGAGCTCAGCCCCGGCGGCGCGCTCATGAGGCACCACCACGCCGCCTGCATGGCGCGTGAGTACTGCACACTGTACACACCGCACACACCGCACACACCGCACACACTGCACACACTGCACACACTGCACACACTGCACACACTGCACACACTGCACGCTCAGCCCCGGCGGCGCGCTCATGAGGCACCACCACGCCGCCTGCATGGCGCGTGAGTACTGCACACTGTACACACCGCACACACCGCACACACCGCACACACTGCACACACCGCACACACTGCACACACTGCACACACTGCACACACTGCACGCTCAGCTCCGGCGGCGCGCTCATGAGGCACCACCACGCCGCCTGCATGGCGCGTGAGTACTGCACACTGTACACACCGCACACACCGCACACACCGCACACACTGCACACACCGCACACACTGCACACACTGCACACACTGCACACACTGCACGCTCAGCTCCGGCGGCGCGCTCGAGGCACCACCACGCCGCCTGCATGGCGCGTGAGTACTGCACACTGTACACACCGCACACACCGCACACACCGCACACACTGCACACACCGCACACACTGCACACACTGCACACACTGCACACACTGCACGCTCAGCCCCGGCGGCGCGCTCATGAGGCACCACCACGCCGCCTGCATGGCGCGTGAGTACTGCACACTGTACACACCGCACACACCGCACACACCGCACACACTGCACACACCGCACACACTGCACACACTGCACACACTGCACACACTGCACGCTCAGCTCCGGCGGCGCGCTCGAGGCACCACCACGCCGCCTGCATGGCGCGTGAGTACTGCACACTGTACACACCGCACACACCGCACACACCGCACACACTGCACACACCGCACACACTGCAACACACTGCACACACTGCACACACTGCACACACTGCACGCTCAGCTCCGGCGGCGCGCTCCTGAGGCACCACCACGCCGCCTGCATGGCGCGTGAGTACTGCACACTGTACACACCGCACACACCGCACACACTGCACACACCGCACACACTGCACACACTGCACACACTGCACACACTGCACGCTCAGCCCCGGCGGCGCGCTCATGAGGCACCACCACGCCGCCTGCATGGCGCGTGAGTACTGCACACTGTACACACCGCACACACCGCACACACCGCACACACTGCACACACCGCACACACTGCACACACTGCACACACTGCACACACTGCACGCTCAGCCCCGGCGGCGCGCTCATGAGGCACCACCACGCCGCCTGCATGGCGCGTGAGTACTGCACACTATACACACCGCACACACCGCACACACCGCACACACTGCACACACCGCACACACTGCACACACTGCACACACTGCACACACTGCACACACTGCACGCTCAGCTCCGGCGGCGCGCTCATGAGGCACCACCACGCCGCCTGCATGGCGCGTGAGTACTGCACACTGTACACACCGCACACACCGCACACACCGCACACACTGCACACACCGCACACACTGCACACACTGCACACACTGCACACACTGCACGCTCAGCCCCGGCGGCGCGCTCATGAGGCACCACCACGCCGCCTGCATGGCGCGTGAGTACTGCACACTGTACACACCGCACACACCGCACACACTGCACACACCGCACACACTGCACACACTGCACACACTGCACACACTGCACGCTCAGCTCCGGCGGCGCGCTCATGAGGCACCACCACGCCGCCTGCATGGCGCGTGAGTACTGCACACTGTACACACCGCACACACCGCACACACCGCACACACTGCACACACCGCACACACTGCACACACTGCACACACTGCACACACTGCACGCTCAGCCCCGGCGGCGCGCTCATGAGGCACCACCACGCCGCCTGCATGGCGCGTGAGTACTGCACACTGTACACACCGCACACACCGCACACACCGCACACACTGCACACACCGCACACACTGCACACACTGCACACACTGCACACACTGCACACACTGCACGCTCAGCTCCGGCGGCGCGCTCATGAGGCACCACCACGCCGCCTGCATGGCGCGTGAGTACTGCACACTGTACACACCGCACACACCGCACACACCGCACACACTGCACACACCGCACACACTGCACACACTGCACACACTGCACACACTGCACACACTGCACACACTGCACGCTCAGCTCCGGCGGCGCGCTCATGAGGCACCACCACGCCGCCTGCATGGCGCGTGAGTACTGCACACTGTACACACCGCACACACCGCACACACCGCACACACTGCACACACCGCACACACTGCACACACTGCACACACTGCACACACTGCACGCTCAGCCCCGGCGGCGCGCTCATGAGGCACCACCACGCCGCCTGCATGGCGCGTGAGTACTGCACACTGTACACACCGCACACACCGCACACACCGCACACACTGCACACACCGCACACACTGCACACACTGCACACACTGCACACACTGCACGCTCAGCCCCGGCGGCGCGCTCATGAGGCACCACCACGCCGCCTGCATGGCGCGTGAGTACTGCACACTGTACACACCGCACACACCGCACACACCGCACACACTGCACACACCGCACACACTGCACACACTGCACACACTGCACACACTGCACACACTGCACGCTCAGCTCCGGCGGCGCGCTCATGAGGCACCACCACGCCGCCTGCATGGCGCGTGAGTACTGCACACTGTACACACCGCACACACCGCACACACCGCACACACTGCACACACCGCACACACTGCACACACTGCACACACTGCACACACTGCACGCTCAGCACCGGCGGCGCGCTCATGAGGCACCACCACGCCGCCTGCATGGCGCGTGAGTACTGCACACTGTACACACCGCACACACCGCACACACTGCACACACCGCACACACTGCACACACTGCACACACTGCACACACTGCACGCTCAGCTCCGGCGGCGCGCTCATGAGGCACCACCACGCCGCCTGCATGGCGCGTGAGTACTGCACACTGTACACACCGCACACACCGCACACACCGCACACACTGCACACACCGCACACACTGCACACACTGCACACACTGCACACACTGCACGCTCAGCCCCGGCGGCGCGCTCATGAGGCACCACCACGCCGCCTGCATGGCGCGTGAGTACTGCACACTGTACACACCGCACACACCGCACACACCGCACACACTGCACACACTGCACACACTGCACACACTGCACACACTGCACACACTGCACGCTCAGCCCCGGCGGCGCGCTCATGAGGCACCACCACGCCGCCTGCATGGCGCGTGAGTACTGCACACTGTACACACCGCACACACCGCACACACCGCACACACTGCACACACCGCACACACTGCACACACTGCACACACTGCACACACTGCACGCTCAGCTCCGGCGGCGCGCTCATGAGGCACCACCACGCCGCCTGCATGGCGCGTGAGTACTGCACACTGTACACACCGCACACACCGCACACACTGCACACACCGCACACACTGCACACACTGCACACACTGCACACACTGCACGCTCCGCTCCGGCGGCGCGCTCATGAGGCACCACCACGCCGCCTGCATGGCGCGTGAGTACTGCACACTGTACACACCGCACACACCGCACACACCGCACACACTGCACACACCGCACACACTGCACACACTGCACACACTGCACACACTGCACGCTCAGCCCCGGCGGCGCGCTCATGAGGCACCACCACGCCGCCTGCATGGCGCGTGAGTACTGCACACTGTACACACCGCACACACCGCACACACCGCACACACTGCACACACCGCACACACTGCACACACTGCACACACTGCACACACTGCACACACTGCACGCTCAGCTCCGGCGGCGCGCTCATGAGGCACCACCACGCCGCCTGCATGGCGCGTGAGTACTGCACACTGTACACACCGCACACACCGCACACACCGCACACACTGCACACACCGCACACACTGCACACACTGCACACACTGCACACACTGCACACACTGCACGCTCAGCTCCGGCGGCGCGCTCATGAGGCACCACCACGCCGCCTGCATGGCGCGTGAGTACTGCACACTGTACACACCGCACACACCGCACACACTGCACACACCGCACACACTGCACACACTGCACACACTGCACACACTGCACGCTCAGCCCCGGCGGCGCGCTCATGAGGCACCACCACGCCGCCTGCATGGCGCGTGAGTACTGCACACTGTACACACCGCACACACCGCACACACCGCACACACTGCACACACCGCACACACTGCACACACTGCACACACTGCACACACTGCACGCTCAGCCCCGGCGGCGCGCTCATGAGGCACCACCACGCCGCCTGCATGGCGCGTGAGTACTGCACACTGTACACACCGCACACACCGCACACACCGCACACACTGCACACACCGCACACACTGCACACACTGCACACACTGCACACACTGCACACACTGCACACACTGCACGCTCAGCTCCGGCGGCGCGCTCATGAGGCACCACCACGCCGCCTGCATGGCGCGTGAGTACTGCACACTGTACACACCGCACACACCGCACACACCGCACACACTGCACACACCGCACACACTGCACACACTGCACACACTGCACACACTGCACGCTCAGCCCCGGCGGCGCGCTCATGAGGCACCACCACGCCGCCTGCATGGCGCGTGAGTACTGCACACTGTACACACCGCACACACCGCACACACTGCACACACCGCACACACTGCACACACTGCACACACTGCACACACTGCACGCTCAGCTCCGGCGGCGCGCTCATGAGGCACCACCACGCCGCCTGCATGGCGCGTGAGTACTGCACACTGTACACACCGCACACACCGCACACACCGCACACACTGCACACACCGCACACACTGCACACACTGCACACACTGCACACACTGCACGCTCAGCCCCGGCGGCGCGCTCATGAGGCACCACCACGCCGCCTGCATGGCGCGTGAGTACTGCACACTGTACACACCGCACACACCGCACACACCGCACACACTGCACACACCGCACACACTGCACACACTGCACACACTGCACACACTGCACACACTGCACGCTCAGCTCCGGCGGCGCGCTCATGAGGCACCACCACGCCGCCTGCATGGCGCGTGAGTACTGCACACTGTACACACCGCACACACCGCACACACCGCACACACTGCACACACCGCACACACTGCACACACTGCACACACTGCACACACTGCACACACTGCACACACTGCACGCTCAGCTCCGGCGGCGCGCTCATGAGGCACCACCACGCCGCCTGCATGGCGCGTGAGTACTGCACACTGTACACACCGCACACACCGCACACACCGCACACACTGCACACACCGCACACACCGCACACACTGCACACACTGCACACACTGCACACACTGCACGCTCAGCTCCGGCGGCGCGCTCATGAGGCACCACCACGCCGCCTGCATGGCGCGTGAGTACTGCACACTGTACACACCGCACACACCGCACACACTGCACACACCGCACACACTGCACACACTGCACACACTGCACACACTGCACGCTCAGCCCCGGCGGCGCGCTCATGAGGCACCACCACGCCGCCTGCATGGCGCGTGAGTACTGCACACTGTACACACCGCACACACCGCACACACCGCACACACTGCACACACCGCATACACTGCACACACTGCACACACTGCACACACTGCACGCTCAGCCCCGGCGGCGCGCTCATGAGGCACCACCACGCCGCCTGCATGGCGCGTGAGTACTGCACACTGTACACACCGCACACACCGCACACACCGCACACACTGCACACACCGCACACACTGCACACACTGCACACACTGCACACACTGCACACACTGCACGCTCAGCTCCGGCGGCGCGCTCATGAGGCACCACCACGCCGCCTGCATGGCGCGTGAGTACTGCACACTGTACACACCGCACACACCGCACACACCGCACACACCGCACACACTGCACACACCGCACACACTGCACACACTGCACACACTGCACACACTGCACGCTCAGCCCCGGCGGCGCGCTCATGAGGCACCACCACGCCGCCTGCATGGCGCGTGAGTACTGCACACTGTACACACCGCACACACCGCACACACCGCACACACTGCACACACCGCACACACCGCACACACTGCACACACTGCACACACTGCACACACTGCACACACTGCACACACTGCACACACTGCACACACTGCACGCTCAGCCCCGGCGGCGCGCTCATGAGGCACCACCACGCCGCCTGCATGGCGCGTGAGTACTGCACACTGTACACACCGCACACACTGCACACACCGCACACACTGCACACACTGCACACACTGCACACACTGCACACACTGCACGCTCAGCTCCGGCGGCGCGCTCATGAGGCACCACCACGCCGCCTGCATGGCGCGTGAGTACTGCACACTGTACACACCGCACACACCGCACACACCGCACACACTGCACACACCGCACACACTGCACACACTGCACACACTGCACACACTGCACGCTCAGCCCCGGCGGCGCGCTCATGAGGCACCACCACGCCGCCTGCATGGCGCGTGAGTACTGCACACTGTACACACCGCACACACCGCACACACCGCACACACCGCACACACCGCACACACCGCACACACCGCACACACCGCACACACCGCACACACTGCACACACGTCGTACATACAAAACACCTTTAGTTTAAAAATGTAAATGTAGTGTAATTAATTTTATAAAAATGAATAAATGTATGTTGCGTATATTAGAACTGATCCCGCCGGACGTAAAGAGCGAGCTGCAGCGTCTGTACGTGTCGTGCGGGGAGTTGTTGCGTGAGTTGTGGCGCAGCCTGCCGCAGCCTGCGGGCGCGGGGGGTGCGGGGGGTGCGGGAGGTGCGGGGGGTGCGGGGGGGAGCACTGCCGACGACGACGCGGCGCGCGCACACAACTTCTACGAGGCGCTGCTTCGGTTTCGGAACGTCAAGTTGCGGCCCTTCGAGGTAACCTCGTCACTATAATCACTACCCATATATTTACGTTCTTTCACACGCAAATCGTGTTCACGCAAATAAGATTATATGAAACTAAATAGAAGGAAAACGATCGGGCGATCCGCCAGCTCGCATATTCCGCGTCCTTCAATCGTGTTTTTTTCGGACTACAGTAATGCTGTTGGCCGCGACTAATCTTTACAGTTTCACCGGACGATACGGGGCAAGCGCAGACGGCACTGCAAACCCGCGGAAGAACTTATGGAGCGGCTGAAGACCAATATCCGCCTAACGAATACGACTTCAGTCTGAGTTTTATGTCTCGGCAAAGATCATCGTATTTTCGATCCCCGTTTGAATTGGACGGAAAATCGATCGGAAGAGCGACCCGGAGCATAGATAGGAAGCACCCGGGTGTGATTGAGGTCGTCGTCTTAACCGATGAGGACGATGTCGTGTGTGTATGTGAAAGTGGGGTCGTGACGACACGGATGGACTCGTAGGGAGATTAACTACCATTATTGAGTCGTCAGAATCAATAAGAACTTGCCTTCTGTCGTGTTCTTGCATTATCTGACTATAAAGCAAAGACAGAAGTATAGAATTATTCATAATTTATAAATATTAACGTCTGTTTGGGATAGAAAAATTGTTGATTAAAAAAATAAAGTGGAATAACATGAAAAGTAAACTCAATAACGTACGCAAGAGTGAACATAAATAGTAGATCAAAGCAATCGCTCGCAATTGCGCTGGTGTTCAAACAACTTCTGATCGCGCGTGAAAGAAAATGTCATGTAACGGCAGCTATTAGCTCCTAGCTCCTCTGACATACTGTACGGTTTTAATTCGATGTAAAATACATTTCAATTTCAGGAGAAGATGCTACGAGACCTCACACCATTGGCGACGTCCCTGACCCGTCATTTGAACCAAATGATCGACGCCGCATGCGCCAAGTACGCCGTGTGGCAACAGAGGCGAGCTGCGCTACGGTAGTACTAGAAGTACTACCAGTACTGCCGACGCTTCGCCTCGGTATAGTATTACAGTACGTAGCAGCATTATAACACGTTTCTCTTCGCAATACTACCGGAACAAGTTCATGTCCTACCTCAACGTGCGGTAGTACCTTGATTTCTTGCGGTACTATGGCGACATTAGTATTACAGTACGCAGCATTACGATGCTTTCCATCCGCAATATTATCGCAACTGGACGATGTCCTACTGTAGTGTTCACTTTGACATTTAAGTCTACTTATAAATCGTAGTATATAATTGTTATCGACATAATATCGTTAGTCATAACGTCTTAACTTCGCGGTGTATTCACGGGGTATCTAAATAATATGTTAATTATCGCAGGCTTCCTACATGTTACTGCTTATTCATTTATTAAAAATAAAACATTTATTCAACACACAAGATTCTTGTTTTCCGTTCTTGTGAAGAATCAAAAATATATTACTATTCAAAAGTGATTATATTGAATTTACTTGAATAAAGATTATTTCTATTTCTATTACTAATTTTACACTACAACTACCTCAACGCGGTAGGACATCAACTATTTGCGGTAGTATAGCGACACGATGTAATAACGCACGATACAATGTTGTATGGGGCCATACAAGTCTACCGGTATCTGTAAAGTAACTTAGCAATATTTGCTAAACGGTCTGATATATTTGAAACTAGTATTTGTGCAAATTAAAATACTCGATGATCAAAAATTATTTCGCAATAGTTCAGAGTCACAGATATCTTCAGAAAATATTTCTAAAGATACTACTACTATAATAAAAACAAATATTTTTCCGCCATGTTGGTTTCCCGCGTTTTCAATAATTACAAAATGGCGTCGTATACACTATGCGTTCGGAAATCAGTCTATGAATTAGGTTATAGACAGATGTTGCCTTAATCTAACCAAAGCAATGTTTTGCTTAATGTAATTAAATTTGATTTATTTTTGTTACATTATAGTTAAAAAAGTACATAATATGACGGATCATTGCACAACCATAAACAAAATGGTGGACAATTATGGCTTGGATATACACAAAGTTAAGTTTATAGCAAAACTAAATTTGACTTACCCACAAAATGTTGTACATACGTATTTAGTAATTAATGTATAATAATAACTCATCTGTGAATAACGAATATCAAGTTAATTATACTTTATTTATGTAATGTTATAATGTTGATTGCATTTTGTAAACCAAATCGAATCGAAGTGGAGTTACTCAATAGTTTAATATCACTCGTAAATAATAATCGAGGCAAACTGTACAAAGTTGTTCCCGTTTGAGCAGTGAAAGCTGTTCCCGTTAAGGCGTGAGATGAGGCAGTAAAATTACAAGGCATAACGCCTTGATTGTCAGAAATGGCCATGCATATATTACGATGGGCATCACAGTCGATTATGTTATGTCCGTAATATATGCAATGGTTATCATTTACCATCAGGTGGCAAGTCAGCTTATTTGCCATTCGTGTCTCTAAACTTTCCATTATAGGAACATTGGTGCAAATAATAATTATTAATCTATGGTTATGGTATAAAACTGCTAAAATCAATTCTAGTACCCATAACAGTCTCTGATAGTGTTTATTTAAACCACACTCGTATTTTATAAATAAAACCGACTGAATCAATAGTATAATTAATTATTTATACAATTTAATCTCCAAGTCTGCTTAAATATCCGAATTTGAGATTATGCCATACTGCCTACACGCGATTTTATTTAAAATTAAACGTTATGTAAATAATAACAGGTTTTTATGTTAAAATTATTCATTAAATCTTTTACCGTTTAATGTTTATATTATAATTTGTGTTGTTAATTAGGCATATCAATATTTGTACATTGATTTTAATTAGTTATTGGATTAAATGTAATTTATTTGTGTAACGTATCATAACAAGTGTTACAAAATTCATAAAAAAAATATTCTCAACGAAAGATCATAAATGAATTAATTGTTGTCGTGGACCGATTACGATGTTATTGTAAATGACTGTAGGCTTTAAATTTGTAATAAAGAGAAATAATTAATGATTGATATATACTTGAATTATATTGAGTCTGAAAACTGTAACGATGTATTTATAAGTAACTGTCATATCGCAATTTGACAAATACAAAATGGCGGAATATGTCAAAACGTGTATTGTGTTCGTACATTATTTAATGAAATGGCGACAATAACGCATTAGTTTTTGTAAGTGTAATAATCCAAAATATCTCGCGTTACCACGTCGACATAACTAAATAACTAAATTTAGATTTAATGTGTTTTAGTATTGAGAATGTATTTTGTTAGCGATTTGATTTACTGAATAAATGTACGTTTAAATTGAACCGGTCGAAGCAATAATTACATTGTTGATTTCATGTATAGAATTCTGAATAATGTAACATCGAGCACATATTTGTTGTTTGTTACAATTTAAAAAACATATGTGGCTAGTTCGTATGTTCCAATTGTGTTCTCGATAACCATTATTCTCAAGATCTCTAATATTTTTGTAATGTCAAATGTCCCTACATTTGACATTACAAAAATATAAATACAAAAATATATTCGTTTTAATCACCCCCTGGTGATTAAAACTTGTTTGGGACTAGATTATGAGTCCCAAACTGAGTTGGTACATGATAACCGATAGATATAATTAATTGTGTATTACATACATAATATTTACATAGAACAATATCCAGAACAATACAAAATGTTTGTATTGTACGGGTATAAATCCTACCATAAGAGCGGGCTCACATTATCAAGTTGGAACTTGACGACGCCGTTCGATTGGCGGAATTCCAAAGAGGGTGGGGCTTAACAACCAATGCCCCAATCAAACAGCTTTGTACGCACGGGCCGTCGGGTCTGAAATGAATGTGAGCGCACTCTAATAGTGACGTCAGACCATAGAGGTCGTCAGTTCATTAATGTATATTTTTGGTTAAATTACTACCGAAACGTGCACGGTAGAAAGATAATATGATAGCTTTTACATACATCGGCTACAGCCGAAACCGTAACTCCAATTGTGCATCGAAATTTCAATAGTATGATAATTTTATATACATCAATAACAAAGTACTATACTTTGATAGGTTAGAACAAATTTGTTATAAAATCCTAGCTACGTTTAACATAAATATATTTCTATACATTAAGGTTTCATAGATGCATTATCGATATAAATACTGAATGCAGAATGATAGTATAACGTGTATGGTACGCCCTAACACATAGACAATCGGGGAGGAAATTGTTAGTAAGAGCCAATCCATAAATACGTCACAAACATTTCATAATATTTTAACTGCTTCCCTCGTTCTTGTTATAGTTGTGTTGTTATGTGCACGCTAGAGAATGCAAGATAGAGAAAGACTAGGTGAGTCTTTCTCTATCTTTATCTTTTATCTTCTACCCAAAGGTTGACTGGAAGAAATGGCTTAGCAATAAGACTTGCCAATGGTACAAATCTATTTAAATCTTTTAAATTAATACTGTGCTTTATATACGGTGTAATGTAGTGTGTATATAAAACATTTTTTTTCTGGACTACTCTAATGCTGTTGGCCGCAGCTGGCCTCAGCTTCACCGGACGATAAGAGGCGAGTACAGATGAACTTCAAACCAAAGGAAGGACTTATGGAGTGGCTGATGACCAACTCCCGCGTGACGGATACGACTTTCGTCTGAGGGCACCGCTAGGGGTTCGAACCTCAGCTCAGGCCGTCGTCATTTCAATCTCCGTTTGAATTGGAAATAATTGGAATAAATTAATAAACATATATATAAATAACATAAATAAGATAACATTTGATGAGACTCCGCCCCCACTTCACACACTTTGCAATTCACTAGAAAACTGGTAGATGAATTCAAAATATTTATGAATTTTTCGTTAATGTTTTTTTTTAATACAATATTTGAAATTTTTATGTATGTGACAGGACCACTTGTTACACTATGTCGACCCCCTCCCTCCCGTACGTGTAACGTCATTTATGGATCCCCCTAAAATATTGTATAGGGGGAGGTATTTTTTAATTTATTTATTTATAACTCTTTATTGCATCTTTAAAAAAATAAAAACAAAATATACATAGTATGTAGATACAAAAGGCTGTCTTATCGCTTAAGCGATCTCTTCCAGACAACCTTTGGGTAGAGGAGAGAAGACCGAAAGTGGATGGCGCAAGATGGAATGAATAAAATTAAATCCCGTCATACTCGTGAACGGGTGCTGATTGTGAGGACTGGTCTGTTCAGGTTACGAACACTGATTAGATTTTTTATTTTTGCAATACCATAGGCTGGTGGTCACTGTATTCACCCAAATTTGAATTTAAAAATGAATCTGTATTATTGTAAACATGTACAACATTTTAAAAGAATACGAGCTGAGTTTCTTGTCTGCTTTTCTCATATTGAAATCATTCCGAACTGACGGTAGATTTGTCATATCATAAGTCTGTAATAGACCTACATGAATAAAGATATTTTGAAATTGAAATATTAGTATAACAGCCACGAGGGGATAACAGACCTGACCTCATGTCCTCATCTTATCATCATCCTCCTTGTCAGCGTATACCGTTAACGCAGGCGTGTGTACCATTCCGCACTCATCTTCTATTCTCAATCCATCGATACTAAGTTATTAGTGAATTATACATCTATGCAATAGTGCTACATATGTATATAGTATACATATAATTTAAATTAGTATCAATTAAACGAGGTATAACTTATAATACTTAACGTAACTCCTATACTGCATTAACTTGCAGAAATATAGAATTATCTATAGAAAATGTTTACACTAATAGCTGTCTTTACACCTAAGTTCTTTCACGGGCGCATCGCCTTCATGCAGGAAATAATGAGCAAGTAAATGTAGACAAAGACTGGTGCTTTGAAGCCGAAAAAACGCCCACGAAATCCTGGAGTGCTTGTAGCTAAACAAAGAACAAAGATCCTCGGAACGGTGAGGACGCACCGTCTTTGTTTAAATTTTACCCTTAATCACTTTAAACCCTTATCACTTAGGGATAATGAGAATGATGATGAGAAATAGATAGTAGGCGATTCTCAAACATTCTTCTGCTGAATATGCATACAAAATTTCATTATATCGGTCAAGTAGTTTCGGAGGAGTATGGTAACTAACATTGTGACACGAGAATTTTATATATAAGATAGTCACTCACGATTTCGCGCGCTGGCTTTGAATCCTGAACGCGCATAAGAGAACGTCGTATAAAAGCAGCTATTGTCACTATGGTTGGTATATAAAACAAACAACAGTAAATAATACCTATTTCATATACTAACAACGAAAATTATACGTGTATTTTAAATCACAGATACAAAATTTGTTCAATATTGTGAACATTCAATTTATATAGTTTTATAAAATTTTAACTACAGGGCGTGATATTCAATAGGATTTTTACATTTACCTATGAAATTGTATATTACGCCGTCAGAGAACACTCGGTTAGGCTGCTGATATACAGCCGGTCAGTTATCAGGTTACCTGAATATAACTATATGGCGAGATATATATACAGGCTATATACGGCGAGATGTAATATCGTCGGTTAAATAGAAAAATGGCAGAACTCAAAATGTACATTTTTGTCTTGTAGACAAGCATTTAAAGTTTCTAAATTTATTTAAATTATTTTTCCCGTTAAAGTTACACAGAAGTATTATATATCATTTTAAAAGTATTTAGATAATGATTAAGACGGCGTGGTTAATTTAATTTAGTTATATAAAAGGAGGCAATTCTAGTTTCTAATTTGGAAAATGTCATTTTTCTATTTTAACGATGATATGTTGGCGCAAAGTTTAAAACTACGCAACGGATTTTGAAGCAGTTTTTTTAATAGGTAGAGTGATTCAAGAGGAAGGTTTATATATATAATACATGTACACCCGTGTGAAGTTGGGGCGAGTAGCTAGTTATTATTATATTAAGCTGTCAACTGACCAACTAATCGACAGATTTACTTGGTTCTAATTCTTATATTAATTACTGTTCGGACATCGTCGGGTCGCGGGACTGTGGTCCGCGTCACCCTCACTTCTGATCTCGACACCGAATACTACACGCGCCCTCAATACTCCATCTCATTCTCTGTATTTCAATATTTCAATTATTATGCGAAGTTACAGTCCATACTTAAGTTTTATTTTAAAAGTCCTTAGTGTAGGACCCTACATTAATAGTCCTTCGAGCCGGATCTGAATCAGCGACCTATGGATTGATGTCCGAACATTACAATATTAAGATATTAATGATTTAAAGAAAAGCGATCTAAAACCTTAAAGACTTCGATGTAATTTATACCCTAAATACAAATGATAAAATATAATTTTGTTCGACAATGTTTTCGGCGGATAGTATTGTTAATTATTGATACATATTTCAAAGAACCTACAGTCAAATCAGTTTGAAAGTTTTTTTCGTTTGTAGTAGACAATCAGTATAACAGGAATAAACAAGTTTGTGATAAAAACATACCGCCATTTTATTTCATATTATTTTCTGAGTAACGCATCTACAATAATAACCTTCTCAGATACTTAATATTGCACATATTATATTTAATTTTCAATCTATAATTTATTCAACTCCAGTAATAAAGACGTCATTGAGATGTTTTGAATATAATCACCATCTTAAAATCACTTCATTATCCAAATTTTGAGGTGTTTAAAATTATTAAATCGGTGGACTAGCGATTTAGCGCGCCGCCTTACCTCCGATGGTCGCGGGTTCGATTCCTTCCAACACACATTTGTATTCATTCAATTTTCGAATAAAGGGGTACAATTTTTTTCTTCACGTATTAACGTAATGATTAGCAAAAATAAAGGCTATTTTTATATTTGATTTATCTACTGACCGTACTTTACTACAGACGCAAAAACATATTTAAATTGTTTTTATGTATATATTCAGACCTATGGTAATAAAAAATTAATATATACATACTATCCTGGGACATATTTATGTTGTTTTAGAAACAGCGAGTAACTTCAGACTTTAGCGTTGTTCTAAACACCTAATAGATGGCGCTGATCCATAATTTCGTATTTAAATCACCTTAAAAGCTTTTTAGTTATTGAATACTTACAATAAAAAATACATTTATCTATATGTCTACAATATTGATGTTATTAATTAACCTCATCTCCAATTCCAAATATAATAAGACCATAGACGATACGATCGCTGACTGTTCCACAGATAACATCCACCATAGACAACAATTAAATCCTTGTTTCATAGAGTGATAGCCATAGACTAAAGCAGTCATATATACATGCGTAGATCACCTATCTGAACGCTTTGACCATCCACACGATGAAAACGATGGCCACAATCACTCCTATAAGGATGAGGATTAACATCTTCTTCCGGTACCGACGCTGGTGCTCCTCAGCCTTGGCCAGTTCCTCTACACCGGCTTCTACGTTAGCGCCTGTCGCTTCTATGTGACTCTCCACAGAATCTTAAATGAAAAGCAATTACATTCTTTTAATGTTAGGGGCTTGTGGTAGCTCGTATGGGATGGAGAGAAACCACTAATTTAGTAGTTAGCGTGGATTGATTTATTTGGAATACTTTACAACTTATGTGCGGAAAATCATGTCATTAGTATACTATACAAACAGGTGATTCCATTCGTGGAGTGAGAAGGCAATGCGAGTGCGCTCCTGCTCGCACCGGGTTTATAAGCAAGGCGATCGCGTTGCGCCGGGAACCTCCCCACGGGCCCACCCGTTCCACCCCGATCACACTTTTACACACACACACGACACCGTCCTCGCCGGCGAAGACGACGACCTCAAACACACAATATCGCGTATCAACCGAGTGCCTGCGTGCGCCCGGGCGCTCCACACCGGCGCCCCCGGGCGCCCCTCCGATCGATCCCCCGTCCAATTCAAACGGGGATCGAAATTACGACGGCCTGAGCCGAGGTTCCAACCCCTAGTGGTGCCCTCAGACTAAAGTCGTATCCGTCGGGCAGGAGTTGGCCTTCAGCCGCTCCATAAGTCCTTCCGCGGGTTTGGAGTGCCATCTGCACTCGCCCCTTTCGTCCGGTGAAGCTGTAAAGGCCAGCTACGGCCAACAGCATTAGAGTAGTCCGAAAAAAAAAAGTTGCGCCGGCAGTTGGCGCGTAGCTGTATTACACCAATCATGTGTGCTGCTACAGGCTGTTCAAGTATTACGTAAGTACAATGGGGGGCGAGGGGGGAGGGGTCTTTGCTTTGCTTATTTTGGATGGCATGGGGGGGGGGAAGTCTATATGATGATTACGTTATACAAGTAGTTATTTACTTTTTACAAGAATGGCAACCCTCATGTTGCGTTCCCTAAAAAAACAATACATTAATTAAAAAATGTTTACCTAAGCATGGGGGAAGATCGTTACTTACTTTTGCTGACAAGGGCGATGGGGGGAGGGGGGTAAATAATTGTAATAAATCTGCTTACATAATATCTGAACGGCCCTATATTGAAAATCTGACACCTTACAGAATCTTACTAATATTAAATTATTTATTATAAACGTGAAAGCTTGGGCGTACGGATGGAGATTGTAACTCTTTCACGGAAAAACTACTCGACGGATTTTGATAAAACTTTGCAGTAATATAGCTTATACTTCAGAATAATACATAGTTAGATGCCTCTGTTATATAATGATTATTGTAATTTTTTCTTTATATTTCAATAATATTGGCTGTAGCTGGACTTTGCAACTTCTCCGGAAGTAGGCAGTGATTTCAGTTCATAAGACAAAACAATGTTTGCGGGATCAGCTAGTAACATTGCATTACCGTTTGTTAGTCCTAATTTTTTTCTGTTCCTTGTATATCCGCAATCAGTAAGTGTACTATAATCGGATTGGTTGGTAAATGACTACGCACGTCTGCAGTCCATTGAGTGCACGACTTTTTATTTAACAGATGCCTCCGACGCTATAATTACATTTCAAGACCTGGAGTACATTTTATCCAACTTCAGTATTTATGTCCTTTTTAGGCGTTTTGGGGGGGGGGGGTCGTTAATGAGTAACCTCTGGGCTAACTCATTTGTTAGTACTAATAAATGATAAACATGTACTCACCTACAACTTGCGCCTGCGCATGTACCATTTCAGCCAGTTGCTGCATTATCTGGTTGACATCCAGGACATCTGCTTCGATTTTGTTCATGTACGCTTCCTCTTCTAATAGCATGCTGGTCTCAAACTGTACTAATCGAGCCTGAAATGATTTCAATTATGTAGAATAGAATAGAAGATCCTTTATTAAAAAAAAATTAATTTAAGTACTTTTGAATAGACAAATATACTTTTTTTATCTACCGCTCAATTGGGAAACTGTCTCACATACAAGAACGAACGAACTATAACTTGCATGTTGCTCTTTTAAATAATGGTTGTATCTTTACATTTTTAAGTTGAAATTTGTGAATACAAACTACCAAGTAGCACTAATTTATTAGAGTCAAAATATTAAATATACAATAATTTAAATTTAATGTTAAAATAATTTAATGAATTTCCCATGATGGGCTAACCGACCTGAGAAGAAAGAAGAAAACTCATAAAAAATGATAAATTTATAAATAATACATAGAATACACCCAAACTATTAAAGATATAAATGATTGCATCTTTTTGGGAATCGAACCAGCGAGTATGGGTAGCAAACTACTACACCACAGAGACCGTGATCATAACATTTCAGAAATCATTCTCTAAGCTTTATTGTGGGTGTACCTGGGCTTGTTGTGTGGCCAACTGCGACGCCTCTTCATCATCAGCGATGGCCTGCTGCTCCAGCAGATGAGGGTCGTTGCTTCTTGTCCGCGGTTGCCGGGGCATGTGAGCTGCCATCTTCTCTGATACTTTCTGTATCAACAGATCAGACAGAAATCAAACAGAATTACAATCTTAATAATATTATAAATGAGAAAGTTTGTATGTATGTATGTTTGTTACTCTTTCACGCAAAAACTACTGAACGGATTTTGATGATATAGGCTATATTTTATATTGAAATTTAAAGTGGGTGGAACCGCGTACACTAGTATAATTATATTTATACTGGCTGTCCCGGCAAACGTTGTTTTGCCTTAAAATAAAAAAAAAATTAGGGGTGGACTACCCCTAATTTAGGGGGATGAAAAATAGATGTTGGCCGATTCTCAGACCTACTCAATACGCTCAAAAAATTTCATGAGAATCGGTCAAGCCGTTTCGGAGGAGTATGGGAACGAAAACTGTGACACGAGAATTTTATATATAAGATATACCTATTTACTAGAGGAAAAACTTCAATTTCATAAATAATGTATAAAATGAGAAGGTATTACATATTACTTTATCTGAACAAAGACAATACACAGCGCCATCTAGTCCTGTTGTGTGTTTTACCAAGTCTTTTTTATTTATTACTACAACAAGTCCCAAACTTGTGCCAGAGCTTGTTATGGGTACTAAACAATTGATATATATATACTTAAATACATTTTTGTAAACATATACATAATATACCTATAGCTTTCACACAACAACATATTAATTGTTTTAAATTCGACATCACTATATATAAAGGCAACATACATACATCGAGATTATAAAGTTAGGAAAAGAACAAAATTACAGTAACAAATAATGACTTTATACCAAATATATATACACCAATCTCCTTCCCCTGTCAGCTGTTTGTTTGTAACAGTAAATACATTTGTTTTAAGAAAATGAGTTTGCGCTTGGTATTATCTCATCTGATTGTAAATAACCTAATTGTACAACTAAGAACCTAAAATTAAAAAGCTTAAAAAAATATAATATGATGACTAAAATATATTATTCAAAGAGGGAACGCTGCCAGTATCTTCGGAACGTTGCCTAAAGGGACCCCTTTTAACAATATATTTTAGTCATCATTGTAAATTATGACAAGACTTCGTATGTAACACGCTTACCCGGAAGAAATCTATTTACCATAGACTTAAAGAGTCTGGGGTTGGATCTCTCCGGGAACACGAAAGCTGGAAGTGTAGATATAATAGTATACAATCTTAATAAATAAGTTTAGTATTAGTTACCTTTTGCACTGAGGTGTAGTTGGCCAATGAGTCCCGGAAGGCCTGCGTGAGTCGTTCCACCTGCAACTTCTGCGGCTTATCTCCGCGCCGGACCACCACGTCCAGCCTCTGCAGCTCGCGAGCCGTCGCCGACACGCAGCCGTTCACAGACTGCTGCGCGTCGTGGCTGAGAATTGGTAGTCAAACACAGAGGTAAATTTCTGTTCTTGCATTGTAGTATAGGAAATTCTATAAGCGAACCGACAGTTGCGCAACCAACTGGTAGGCAGTTGGTTGCGCCACTCAGGAACTACTGATTCCTGTGATTAGCGCATTCAAACAAACAAAGTATTCAGCTTTATAATATTAGTATAGAATTCATCGATAAAGCAGTTTCGGAGCAGTATGGCAACTAACTGTGACACACAATTTTTATATAAATATATAGATGTTATAAAAGCAACTTACATCTTATCTCTCAGCTGAATACTGTCATTGGGCCCTCCAATTTGTTTCATCATCTTCTCCAACGACCGGAGACCACTATTGATGGCATTGATATTCTCAGCTATGCTTTCACTCAAATTGTACAGTTCCGTTGGACTGAAGTCAGTGAACCCTACGGTAGGGGGCGCAGCCGCCGAGCCGTAGTCTCGGCTCGAACCGGTCAACGGTTCTCGTTCTGACATGGTTATGCTGTAAATATAAAATCTTTATTAATATACATTATTTATGCTTAAATGGATTTATATATATATTCTTATTTAAGTATGTAGTTGGATATATATATTTCAATTTATGAATTTTATTATAATTGTACCTACTTCATTTTATTATTTATTTCGTGTTATTATTTACTTAAATGCACCGCCCACTAATCTCTGCCTGCCATATGGTCAACTGGGAGAAAATACCTTATGGTGTTAAGTCCGCATATGCACCTTTATTTTGTTTTTTTCTCTTTATTCTCTCTCAATAATTTTTCTTTCCGCTATCCTCGCTTTTTTCTATATTGTCTCTTTCTTAATTGCATATTGCATAATTATTGTGTATAGATATTTATTTAATTTTAAATTATATATTTTATATATGTCATGTATAATTTATGTTTATGTATTTATATATATATTACTATTATTATTTATGTTTATTAATTCCATCTTGCGCCATCTACCACCTTCTGTATTTTCTCCTCTACCCAAAGGTTATCTGGAAGAGATCGCTTAAGCGATAAGACCGCCTTTTGGACCTACATACTATGAATATTACATATGTTGTTTTGTATTTTTTTTTTTGTATAAAGTTGCAATAAAGAGTTATATATAAAAAAAAATTAATATCTTATGTAAGACAAATATTGAACACCATAGAAAATAGACGAGGAAAAATGTTAGGGCACTTGATACGGCACGATGATTTCATGAAAATTATTATTGAGGGGAAAATAGAAGGAAAGAGGGGGAGGGGAAGACCAAGGAATAGCTACATCAAACAAATTGAGGACAAAATGGGAGTCGTGTCGTATCAAGAATTAAAGAGTATGATGGAAGATCGCGGAAAGTGGCAAGAGCTCCACCGACAACAGCGTAGCTCTTAAATTATGAATGAATGAATGAATGTATGTTACTCTATAAGGTATTCATAATATGATTGATTGAATTAAATAAATAATTTAGCTGGAGAGATAAAGTAAGAAATGTAGTAGTATAAAGGGTGAAATAAAAAAGGCAGATATTAAATACTAATTAAAATAGATGAGGGAAAATATTAGGACCCTTGATGCAGCACAATGAATTTATGGAAATTATTATTGAGGGAAAAATAGATGCAAAAGACCATGGAGCAGCTACATCAAGCAAATTAAAGACAAAATTGGAGTTGTGTTGTATCAACATTTAAAGAAAAGGTGACAACTTTACACCTCTCTTTTTATTACAACACATTTTCCACATCACTGAAAGAGAGGGCAATAGTTTTATTATCATTTACAACAGTATATTTGAGGTTTTTGTGTAGAGTTGATCCATCTGTGACATAGTAATTACTATAATTACATGTGCTATTGTGCTTTTGAAGTGGTCGGCAAAACAATTTACAATTGTACTTCCCATGACTTTGGCCACTTAAATAAGTGTATTAAGTCTATTTGTGTAACAAATTTCATTCAAATCTAAAACCATGTGAGTAATTGTTGTAACGGGATAATCAGAAATGTTATATTCTAAAATTTAGGTTTATGGTTCTGTTATTGTACAATTTTGTGTTTTCCTTCACTTCTTGACAATCTTTCAAATTTTAAATTCAAAAATAATTTATTCATTTAGGAACTTTTAGCTGCTTATGAATGTAAATATTTTGATATTATAAATTTTTCCCTACCATCCAGTTCAGTATATAGATCTAATTGAGAAGAACTGGCAAGAAATTAAATTGAATATTTTTTTTAAAATGCCAATTTATTTACAATGTATATTCATATAGGTGTCTATGTCTAACATTAAATAAAAATCTTGTGCATGAACAACTATTGCCATACACACTCGTCACTTAAGTAATTGTTTAGTGAGTTATATAAGTTATATGATTGCATCTTGTTGGCATGAACAAAGCTCCTTGATAAGTGAGCTTTGCTCAGTAAATATGATTTATCAGTTTTTTTTTTATTTATTTAAGGGTAATTCCAATATATCCTTTGGTATCTTATTGTAAATTTTTGTACCTATTCCCATAAAAGACCTATTGATTTTTTCTAAACGATATTTGGTCACAGCAAGTTTGTCTTTAAATCTGTTACTAATATTACTAGGAGTAAGAGATTTATTTGAAGAGATGTAATTGATTTGTATTTTTGTTGTATTGCTATTTACCATCACTACATAGTATAAAACAAAGTTGCTGTCGCTGTCTGTACATTCCTATGTATTCTTAAATCTTTAAAACCATGTAATGGATTTGAAGCTGGTTTTTTTAATAGGTAGAGTGATTAAAGAGGAAGTTTTATGTTTATAATAAATGTACACCCATGCGAAGTCGGGGGAGTAGTTAGTTTATAAATATAGTAATAAAACAACAATAGTAAACATGTATGCAATGTTTATTTACATAAACAATTAGAGTACCTACACTTTTGTTATTGGCCTCAACTATATGACTAATTTAGAAGGACAAAAAGTAATAAAAAAATCCTAATCACTTAAGCTGATAGGATATGAAAATGTTATGAAATCATATGAAATCAACTTTATTCATGTAGGTCTAATTGCAGAAACTTGTTATAAGTCAATCTACCATCAATTTGTAAAGTAGATTGTGTCAAGACGATTTAATCAAATCAACTTTAAATCAAATCAAATCAAATCAACTTTATTCATGTAGGTCTAATTGCAGACACTTGTCAATCTACATTCTATTTGTAAAGTAGATTGTGCCAAGACTATCTAATGAGAAACTCTTCCCTCACTCTTTTCAATTGTAATTCTAGATCGTTATAATAATTTATTAAATTTTAAAGTTTGAAGGCGGAAGAGGACTGTGTGTAATGTTAGCAAAATATTATGTCAGGGTGACCTCCACTCAGTTCTCTCTGGAAACTGTAGTGATAAAGTCCTTGTGAATTTATCGCAAGGGGCTAACTTGACTCATCTTATCATCTTCCACTAGTGTCCCACCAGCGTAAACTGTTAGCACAATAGAGTGTATAATTACACTATCATAGAAAAGACATTCCTTTCCTATATTCTTAAATTTCTTTAAAATTAAATTGGTAAGACAAAGTTTCCACCACTCCACAATTCCTTTCAGACATTCAAAGGTTGACTGGAAGAAATCCCTCATTTAGGATAAGTCCGTCATTGTACAACTTATATTTTTTAAGATTGTTGTACCTTTAGTATTTACTGTACAATAAAGTGTTACAATCAAACCAACAAAGGTTCTAATGCAGGACACTTTGTACAAAGTCTAACTTATTTAACTTTGCAAAGTAAGAATAAACATAAACATCTACAAAATAATACCATTCATAATTTAGTTAAATAATAGAAACATCAAATTAAGGCAACAGAAATTAGTTTAGTAGACCAACAATAACAAGATCCATTAAAAATAAAATTTTCAACTCTCAAATAGATTGTAGAGATTGTACAGTTGAGCCGTAATTTTACTTTATAAAGGTGTAAGCATGAATTCAAATGCGTAATAAATTATTATGTAGTACCTACATAATATAAACAATGCACTGAGCCAGCCAATAAAAAAAAGTTTGTAACACAATGCCAGTACATTAAACCAATTAGTGTGATAATTATTTGTAAAAACTAGGCTTATAAGTATCACTGAAATATGCAACAAGCCGGAATATCCAGTTATATTACATACCTTTGTAATGTAGAAAATTGCACGAATTTTAGTTTATCTTACAAATCTTTTTATTGTTATTATTTATTCTTGCTCCTTGATAAGTGGGCTTGATGATTTCGCTGACAAGGTTCGGTTCTTCAGACTGAGAATGATTTCCACGATTTGATATGATAATAAATTAACAAAATAATACAATACAATACATTATGACTGGACATGACAAGACGAAATAAATAGGTATTTTAGAGCATATGTTCTGTCAGTGAGTGTCACTGTCATTATATACTGACAGTTATAGCACAGACTTTATATATGGCTGTCAGTCAGTGTCAGTGACAATGAAATCGCGACTGAGACAATGGCTGTATAGGTATAAGTCCTTTTTGCCTTTCCCTGAAACGGAAAATAAAAAATTATAAAAATTTTAATTACTTCCCCCATGGGAAGTAAAAATCGCTACCTTTTTAATAATAATAAGTATTTTAACAAATGTTTAATGTCTTTATCACCATTTTTGTCACTTGAATTGATGAACCTTTTATGGACTTTTTGTTTATGTAATTATAATGGCAAATAAGCGATAAATACTTTCACTGCCTAATCACACCTCACGAGGGGGAAAGAGATTGTTAGTGATGTGAACTGATAACCCCATTGCTAGCGATGTATGTCTGGTTGATCTCCACGTGGTTACCCCTGTAAATCATCATGGGAAATTTTTGGTGTATTTACCACGATGGGCTAACTGTCCTGACCTTATGCTCATCTTATCATCCTCCACTGGAGCCCTGCCAGCGTGAATCGTTAGTACCGTATTTATATAATATCTCTGGACAATTCTCACAATTGTACTGTTGACATATTTTTTTTTTATTTATTTAAATCAGGTAGCTAATGGCCCATATTATAAATACCTTACAGACTAACATACATATGAATGATATAATTATAAGAAAAGAAATATAAATTGTCTGTGTGATCACGGCACTGATGATGGTAATCGCCGATACACCACCCCCTTCGGCCAGTAGTCCTCCTGGATCCTCCTCCATATTTAGATACATTTTTTGTAAATACAAACATAATGTATATAGAAAAGATCAATATAACCAAACATACTCAGGAATAAATCATACCGAGGAATCGAACCCGCGACCATAGACACTAAAGCGGTATGCAATATAGCTAGATGAACAGCGGAGTCATCATTATGTATGGATTTTTTTTAAAGCTTACTTATATTACTTTTTTCTTTTTTTTATAACACAGGGGACAAACTAGCATGCGGCTCGCCTGATGGTAAGTGATTACCGCCGCCCATGAGCACCCGCAACACCAGGGGAATTGTCAGTGCGTTGTCGGCCTTTTAAAAAGGAATAAGCTCTTTTCTTGAAGGCTTCAATATCGTATCGGTTCGGAATTACCATTGCTGGAAGGTGATTACATAAATATTATCTCAAAAAGTGAATAATGAGGTAATAATAACATGGCGGATTATATTCAAAACATCTCATTGTACATTCCTATTCTCGATATAGTGTTATTATTCCAGACACAGTGAATATTTCCCATACATATAATCAGGACACATAAAGCAGTCGATAGCCACAGAAACCTGGAAAACGAAAGTTACGACCATAGTACGTACAAATGACGATGTGTATAGAATATATCATTCTTGGATACAAATGTTGTTGAATAACAAAGAGGAGAAAGGTTATACGAACGTGGGAGTAATAAATTACAATGTACGGAGACACCTTGTCATCGAAACATTTAGATGTGTTCCCTTCCGATCGATCCCCCGTCCAATTCTAACGGGGATCGAAACTACGATGGCCTGAGCCGAGATTCGAACCCCTAGTGGTGCCCTCAGACTACAGTCGTATCCGTCAGTCAGGAGCTGGCCTTCAGCCGCTCCATAAGTCCTTCCGCGGGTTTAGAGTGCCATCTGCACTCGCTCCCTAACGACTTTAATCTCAGGGCACAACTAGGGGCTGCCCCTAGTTGTGCCCTCAGATTAAAGTCGTATCCGTCAGGGAGGAGTTGGCCTTTAACCGGTCCATAAGTTCTTAGACGTGGGACAAAGAAATTACAATGTACGGAGACACCTTGTCCATCGAAAGATAACGATGTCTTCCATTCCGATCGATCCCCCGTCTAATTCAAACGGGGATCGAAACTACGACGGCCTAAGCCGAGATTCGAAGCTCCTAGTTGTGCCCTCAGATTAAAGTTGTATCCGTCAGGGAGGAGTTGGCCTTTAACCGGTCCATAAGTTCTTAGACGTGGGACAAATAAATTACAATGTACGGAGACACCTTGTCCATCAAAACATAAGTATGTCTTCTTTTCCAATCAATCTCCCGTCCAATTCAAACGGGGATCGAAACTACGACGGCCTGAGCCGAGATTCGCAGCCCCTAGTTGTGCCCTCAGATTAAACTCGTATCAGTCAGGGAGGAGTTAGCCTTTAACCGGACCATAAGTTCTTAGACTTGGGACAAATAAATTACAATGTACGGAGACACCTTGTCCATCGAAAGATAAGGATGTCTTCCTTTCCGATCGATCCCCCGTCCAATTCAAACGGGGATCGAAACTACGATGGCCTGAGCCGAGATTTGCAGTCCCTAGTCGTGCCCTCAGATTAAAGTCGTATCCGTCAGGGAGGAGTTGGCCTTTAACCGGTCCATAAGTTCTTAGACGTGGGACAAATAAATTACAATGTACGCAGACACCTTGTCATCGAAACATGAGGATGTCCTCCGTCAGATCTATCCACCGTCCAATTCAACCGGGGAACGAAATTACGACTGACCCGTAATTTGAGCCTGAGCCGAGGTTCAAACGCCTAGTTGTGCCCGCAGATTATCAGTCGTATCCGTCAGGGAGGAGTTGGCCTTTAACCGGTCCATAAGTTCTTAGACGTGGGACAAATAAATTACAATGTACGGAGACATTCTCTTAGGATGGACACTGCCATAGAAACATGAGGATGTCCTCCGTTAGATTGATCCCCCGTCCAAATTGAACGGGGATACAAATTACGACGGCCTAAGCCAAGGTTCGAACGCCTAGCGGTGCAGTGCCCTCAGACTAAAGTCGTATCCGATAGGCAGGAGTTGGCCCTTAATTGGTCTAGAAGTCCATCCGCGTGTTTAGAGAGCCATGTGGTGGGGCAGTAGTGGATGATGAACGGCCAGCCATAGTCATAGCTCATCATGGTGAACACCAGGAATTAACCGCGATGGTTTCCTTGATTTATTAATAAATATATACTATAAAATCTTTAGTCATATCTATGGAGGAAACTTTGCTAAAATGGGCCAACTTTTTTATTACTAAAACTATTATCCTCCAAAATAAGTAAGCTTATACCTTCCACAGCTGTGTGCCGTTGCCCTACAGGTTGCCAGCAAAAGAAAAAAAAAGTAACGATTGCCAAAACAGAAAATGGCGCCAAATTCATACATACTAATTATATCTCTGCATACATTTCCTTAACTTGATATTGGCTAAATGCGAAGGCAAAGCCAAAGTTGGAGGTAAAAAAATACCAAAAAGAACAAAATATAGAGTCAGAATATTCACTCCACTATAGATTAATGACATTAACTGGAATGTACATTAAACAAAAAGTGATATTTGTAATTCAAAATCTAGATATATTTCTTAAAAATAAAGAGATGAGCCAAAGAAGTCAAAGATCTAGAGTAGGAACGAAGCTGTACATACATGGAACAAAATTAAGTATGGTCAAAAATAATGTCTTCCATATGGCGATAAAAATTTATAATAAAATACCAGATGATATGAAGACACTTCCACGAGGACGGTTGACATATAAATTAAATAATTTTTAAATGAATAATAATGTAATAATAATATGTATGTATAATTCTCCGATGACAATTGTTTTCATAATTAAATAATATTTAATATTCATATATTTTGCATGTCTAATGAGGCAAAACATAATGGGACATTATATTACAATAACAACAATATAAACCTATGTTTAGTGCAAATAAATTTGATTTGATTTGATTCAAAGATGATAAGGAAATTGGCAATTATATTGTACATTAAAATAATATAAAATGCACTGTGAAATAAATATTCGTACACAAATTAATATAATCGAGCTGTATCCTTATGCAATGCCATTCCTTGGGATCTAGAGGGTCATTAAATTAAAAAATAAAACATCTGATTTAGCATTTAACATAATATATTTTTTACATACGTATGATGACTTATTGTCGTATGTTTTTAAGGCATGTTGTGATATCTATTAATACAAATATTAAAAAATTTGCTTATTTGTATGTTCGAGCATGTAAACTTACTGGTTCGGAACGTACTTAAACTAAAATTATTTATTTAAAATTACACTAGCACCAGTGGTGGATAATAATATCTTACTTAGTAACGTTGGTAACACCTCAATGTGAGGCTGTACTTATAATTTGATTATCTGATCATTATGTATTTAGTTATATATATATTTATGTTTATATTATATATATTTATGTATGTTTATTATTTTTTTTTTATTGAAATTTATATTAAAAATATTTTGCTTTATATTTATATTTTATTTTTTATATATTAGTGCACCGCCAACAATCTGTCTCTGCACCACTCATGGTTGCCTGGTAGATAATGCCGTATGGTGTTAACTCTGGCGGAGTACACATGTACATACACATTGTTTTTGTGCATTAAAGTTAAATAAATAAATAAATTACTAACTTTCTAAAGTTTCTGGTGAATTTGTCACTGTGGGATGAGTGACCTGATCTCTTATCATCCTCCAGTAGTGTACATCCAAGATATCTGTTAGCCAGCGCATACCACCGTCGTGTGCTGCCCCCAAACAAATTTTTAGACACAGCCAAGACACGCTATGCTTATGGTTAGCACATTTCTATTTCTAGAATAGACATCCCAGAGGTTTAAATCAAGACAATTAACGGGTTTATTCAGTGTACTTGCATCCAGTCGACATCTTACGGTCATCTATTAACACTAGAATGTGCTGTGTTAATTACACGCAGCTTTAATTAGTGTAAAAAGCACATATTATTACGCAAGCTGTGTTAATAACTGAGCTTTTACAATGTAACGTCTATTTGCGTTGTCGGTTATTTATGTACACTTAGGGGTTATATCTATTTTATTATTATTTTAATATATGACGGCCTGGGTGATCTAGCGGTTTA